ATTTGAATAAGTTCAATATTGAGTTATATTATTTCAATTTTTGTCAAAAAGAATTAGAATTAAAATGTCAAACATAATGATGAGCACAAACCTAGCGAACATTTCGCAGCACTCAATTATTTTTTACTGAAAGAGAGAATTTTAATAAAATTTAAATTCGGATAGACAGAAAGTGTTATAATTCCATACAATAAAGTTCGCTTTGTTAACCGTTCATTTGTTGGCTCGCTTACTTGACCGCTTGCTCCCAGCCAGCCTTATGATTATTATAACATAAGAAAAAGTATTATTTTAAGTATAGAGATGAGATAAAAATACAAATGCTAACAACAAGAAAAATCTTCATTAAACATTACAAATTAGTATGAAAGCGGTATGTTAGTAAGCACGTTAAAGTCGAGTTGAGTAATTCAATTTCATCCTTGTCTAAATCTTCTATGAGTCTAATGACTTTCTGAAATGATGATCGAGTATCAATTCGTGAAGATCGAACAGATTGATTGTTTTCGTCAATTTCCTCTTGTTTTAACAATGGTTCTTCGTCGGGTTTTGGGGAGAGAATCACATCCGGTTTCCATTTCTGGATCTTGTTCTCTTCTTTATTTCTGAGAGTTCGACGTTTCATATTGTTAGAAGCGTTTATCCATTGCCGTTGAATCAACATTCCACAAAATATTGTCATTGTTATAAAGAATAGAATCGACAGCGACATTATTAATATTAAATATCGCCGTTTCATCCGTTCGCTGATGAACGAGATTAGTGGTATTTTTGTAACTGATGGATCCTTCACAACGAGATGATCTAATTCCTTCATTTTCATGTTCCTTAATTCTATTATTTTAGATTCGAGCCAACTCATACTTGTAGTTGATGGTAGCAATGATCGTTTATATGAGTTACGCACCAATTTTCGAGAGATGCCATTTGCAGATGTTACTCTATTTTTTATTACATTTTTCTTTCTATTTGTCAAATGGTTACGTTTGATAACTAATCCAGAGTAGTTGGGATTATAATCTAATCTCGTATGAGATACGGGTTTCTCCTTGAAAATATATGATAAAACGTTTCGATATTTTTGACTATTTACGAATCGTTGATTACGTTTCAGTCTTCTATAGAGTATATTTTCATCTCTCTCGATCAGTTGTCTGTTAGAAGATCCTGTAGAACCTTTGAGTAGGTCCTGTTCTTTTCGGATTCTAGAAAATCTATATTCTTTGTTATTTCGATATGTCCACAGTCCTAAATGTCGTGTCCTTCTCGCAGCAGGTAGAGATTTCGTCAAAGTTTCTTGAAATAACAATCCAAATACGAAAATAAAAACTGCAAACATTGCGAGGAAAGAATGGCTTCGAAAAATGTTAACAATAAAACTATTTAATTATTGATATCTTATTATTTCGTTTATTAGTTTGTTATGAATTTTATGTCATTTCTTTCTACCTGATTAGATCTAGTTTCGATTCAGAAGATATATATTTTATTGAGCTTCAAGTTCAAAATTTCTACACCTATAAATTGTCACTGTTGTCTGTCTGTGTCTAGTTAGATAGATGAATGTCGAGACCGGAAGTGTCCCCTAATTAACTATGCAATAACCTATCTACTCTAATGAAACTGGAAAAGTCTAGTTCAATTCAAAAAATTTTCCATGAAATGTGTTAGATAGATAACCGGCATGATTCTATTGTTAAAGGAAAGATATAATGTACTGGGGAATGTCACTACTAATTTGAGGTGGAGAGCGTATATTTTAAATTAAATGAATTAAAAATATGATTAAAGATTGAAGTCAGGCATTGTGACAATGTCACAATAAATAATTGCGCGTTCGATTTAATATTTTCAGAATAATATGTTTTAACATTTACTGTTAAGTTTGATTACGGAAGTTATATTCTATTACTAAGTCTTTGGTTCTTATTTTAATACAGTATTATTTGGCCTAAGATATTCATACACGTTTCTTTGATTATATGGGCCACCAGTGGCCGAGTAGATAATAACACTGAACACTGGTAGTTGGTAGTGGTTTCTCTCTTCTCCAACGAGCTAATCGCGTAGTGTTATAAAGTTTATGTATATAAACTAGGTTTATTTCTATCATTTATAAGTGGTAATTCAAATGTGTTCGCTGGCCTGATTTGACAAGAGCTGTAAATTTATACACCACTTCTCTAAAACATTAAATACTATCGAAATATTTTAAATTTAAAAAAATACTTGTGACATCACACAGAAATTAACATTAATAATATATACGTGAAATGAATATTTTTGTGTTCATCTAAAACAGGGATTTCCCATCTAGTTGATTGGTCAATTGATTTCGATAAATTACTCGGAAATTTTTTGGTTGAAATACATGCTTCCATATATATGTGTATGGAATATATAAAATATTTGTGGCACACGTAAATACGACTTAAGCACAAATTGGCATGTCAGTTTTGGTACCACTGTTTTAAAGAATACGATTTTCAATGAAATCTCATTTCAAATTACCTGCAATGAAGCAATAATATATATATCATAAATAAATATTCATTTTTAATGGATATATTAAACCCGATTATCTGGCCGTACATAGAGGAGAAGGTGGTATTATGCAACCCGATTTTCATTATAGTGAATTGTAAACAAGGTATCATAACTTCACCCACNGTTTTAAAGAATACGATTTTCAATGAAATCTCACTTCAAATTACCTGCAATGAAGCAATAATATATATATCATAAATAAATATTCATTTTTAATGGATATATTAAACCCGATTATCTGGCCGTACATAGAGGAGAAGGTGGTATTATGCAACCCGATTTTCATTATAGTGAATTGTAAACAAGGTATCATAACTTCACCCACACTTTTTGTGCAAAAAGTACTAACTATTAAACTAGATGTTCCTAATTGGATTTTTCGCTAGTGTAACTATATGTATTGTTTTTGAAATCTTCTGTACAAAAAGTCAGAAAGTAGGCTTAGAGAAAATCTGCTGGTAATATGGAACCTTACTGTATATTTTCAGAAAAATGCTTTAATGTAGCCAAAAACAAATGTCTTGGTCCCTTCAGTTGATTAATGAATCAACTGAAGGGACCAATACATTTGTATCTGTAACTGTTTGTGATAAATTTCAGTTCTGAAATATCACAGAACAAATCTTAAAAGATTTTGCTTTTATAACTGAAGTTATAATTCTTTATTTTAATTTTTTATGTAATGAAAAAATTTTGGTTTTTTTAATGAAGATAAAAACTGGTAAACACTCTTAGTAAAAACTAATCTGTATAACCTGGGCGTTATGAAACATTAAAATATTTCTATCGTTCTGATCCTACGTAGTAGTAAGCTTAAGACATATTACAGTATTCCAATTGATCAAGGAAGGTAAAGAAAATGAAGAGCACCAGAAATAGGGATGCACATGCTATAATTCAAAAGAATGTTCTCAAAAAATTTTCATAGATTCATTTAATAAGTAAAGCCGAATAATATTTTATAAACAAAAGTTTTAATAAACGAATGCAATGTATTATTTTTAAATCAAATAACCAAAATAAAAAAACCAAAAACTTGAGTTAATGATGGGAATTATATTTATTATTAGTTTTTTGAAGCATTGAAAAGAAATTTCTTGGTCCCTTCAGTTGATTAATGAATCAACTGAAGGGACCAAGACATTTCTTTTTAATGCTTCAAATTATACTTTCTTCATGGATGTAAATTGGTTTAGCGTCATTCTCTTGTAGAGAATGACGCTAAACCAATTTACATCCATGACCCTAAAATTTAAATTATGAATGGTATGAATGGTATAAACAGTTTTAGACCCTAAAATTTAAATTATGAATGGTTTTACTACTATTACAATATATAGTAGCAAGATAAACTCAAAAGTAATCAAAACACCAAACTAAATGTATTTGAAGTATCCAGTGCATAAGCAACTTCATTTCAACTTCATTTTGAAAATTAAGCTGAAAGCAAACAAAGTTAAAAAAAATATAAATTTCTATAAACTAGGCCCTTTTTGCACTCAAATTGTACATCAATGAAGAAAATGCTAATTTCAAAAAATACAAGTTACACATCAATATAAAAACATCAATATTCTGTCCTATAAGGTCAATAGAAGAATGACCTATGATCTTATCAAAAATTCATGTGAAATATTTTTTATACCATCTAAATCTCAAAGTTCTGTAAAATGCAAATTCTCCTGGATTAACAACAAGCATTTAAATGGTAACTCCCACACTAATTTGGATCTGATTTACAATATGTTATTAATTTTATTGAAATTTCATTAAATTAGGCTGTTATTACATATAATTATAATTTATGATATAAACAAGTAAAACGGCAAAGCCTGTGTCTTGGGGAGTGCGAGCAACGCATGCGCAAATCTTGCATACACGCCTGTTTGTAGAAACAGTCAGCATTTCGTATTTTCTTTTGACCCGTTTCTCGGTCCTCTGACTATCTACAAGTCAGGTTTATTTTGTGTGTGCATGATTTGGGCACCAAATACTCTGTGCCAGGAGTTGGCACAGAACTCCTGACATGTACACTCCTTCCTAACTCTAAGATGTTGACAGCAGTGCAATTTTAAAGACAAGACATATATATATTTTATAATTGACAAGACTATTTAAAATATAGTATAAATTAGGCTGTTAATGTAGGATATGTCCATTATATATAAAACATTGCATGCTTTTGAACTTTATTTAGATGGACTTTAGATACTTACTACTTTTTATATCTCTTATGTCAAGTTTTTTGACTGCAATAAAACCATTTTTTGAATGTTTGAAGTTTAAAGAATTAATAAATATTGCTTCTATGTGATTTGCGCATGCATTGCTTGCGCTCCCCGAGACATAGACTCTGCCGTTTTACTTGTTTATTTCATAAATTATAAGTAATAACAGCCTAATATTGTTTTTAAATAGAAAAACTCTAAAAACTTGAGAATGATACTAAAATTTATTATAATTCAGTAAATTACAACATTTCAAATTAAAATCTGAATTTTATATAACTCTGTATATTCATCTTTGATTTCACGCAGATTATCTGGAGAAAAGTATGAATGTAGTTCAAATTTAAATTTAAGAAATTTATATCTTTACAATTACATGATTTAAATAAATACATGTCTACCAATTAAAAACCCAATTTTGCTTAGTGTTCTCATATTAAATAGATTAAAAGTGATTTTTCTAAATACTACCTAAAAAGGTTATAATTTTGATTTTCTAGAGGCCATTCCTATATTTGGTGTTATATCAATGCATGGCTTTACCAAAGGATAGAGTCCGAGTCCACTTTTAAATTCTGTTATGTTTTCTATTTTAGTAAAAGGCTGTAATACAAAAAGTTCAGAATAAAAACATAAATAATGATAGTCAAAATTATAAATACATTATACATATTGACACAAATAAAAATAATACCTGAGAAACTGGTGGTTGTATTAATCCATCACTAACATTTTCAGTAACATTAAGTGAATTATCACCTTGTGAATTAATAACAGATGACATAATGTGTACAGACAGTTTCTTTCGAGAAGGTGCATCGTGAGCAATCAATTCCTGCATTTATATTAAAATTGTTTAATATTAAATTGAAAACATTAATAATTCCATTTATGTAAGAAATTTTTACCTTATAAAAATTAATTACATCATCTTTTGTCAATTTATGTAAACAGGCAACCTCTATGTTATCTGAAAAAGTTAATTTTGTAAGTTAGAATAGTCCTACTACAAAAATATTCTAATAGTAATCCATTATTATTAATACCAGGAATGCCCATACACTGGGGCACTTGGGGCATGTGCCTCCCCTTTACCTAATCACCAAAGGGGCCCCAAATTCCATTATTAACAAGAAAATTCATGACTTCTAGGCTATTCCGCAAATACAGTATAAAAAACTAATGAATGATATTTTTCCATTGTCTCATGCAACTTTGTCATATGTTGACCAAAATGTAGCCTTGAAATCAAAGAATGTTTCCCTTGTTTTTGAGGCCAAGTTAATCCTGGTTGCAACCAGTACCACCTTGTGAGAGCACTGATTTGATGTTAAATTATAGTTTGAAGCTTCTTGCATAATGTGCGATGTCCTTTTTTTTTATAGCTTGTGGGCACCTCTGATTAATATATAAATCTTAACTTTATATTCACTTTTATTAACTGTTATCTTTATTTAAAATCAATCAAACTATTTAATTTTCATTTATTTAATAAAAATTAATTTTTTACTGTATGATTTTTTAAATTGTTATTTCTATATTAACAGTATTGACTTTGAAAGCTTTAATTAGTAACATGTATTTCATTAAAAAATTCAGGATACTAAAGTTCACTAAAAATACAGATGTAGACAACCCAAACAGTATCTTTCCATAGAGACTCATCTAAAACATGCTGCGACTTGACCTTTCATTTCAGGCTACAGCTTCAGTAAATTATGTAAAAGACAAAATGTCATTGGTGAGTGGATATTATGAAAAAATAAAATATAGTGGTTTTTATTATTTTTTTATATAATGTATTGAGGCTCTAGTTCAAATGAGAGGTTGAGTTAGTGTATTTTAGATGAGTTCCTAGTATAAAAAAAAAGGACAATAAATGATGCCATTTGGACTGTCCATATTTGTATTTTTAGTAATACAGTGGTATCTCAGGATACAAAATTAATCCGTTCCGAAACTGAGATCGTATCATGAAAATGTCCTAAGGTGAATCATTTTTCCCCATACGATTACATGTAAAACCAAACAATTCATTCCAACACAAAAAACACACTCAAATTAAAGCTAAGTAATACATTGAAAAAAATGACTATAGTAAGCAAAACACTGAAAAATGCATTTTGTAGTTGTAAATGTATAAATAACCATAATAAAATAATTTGATGATAATAGAATAATAAATTGATTAAAGAAATGTAGTTTTATTTGCACTTTACCTTTGAGGATAGACGACAGTGGAGGTGTAAACTGGTGGTGGAAGAGTGGGAGAAGGGAAATGATACTAAAACTTAACTTACATAACATAATGTAACAATAACTTAAAAATAACTTAGAAAAGATTAAAAAAAATTAGTGTTGTTTTATTTATATATATATATATTTTTTTAATTTTTATTCACTGCTTTTCGCTTTCTTTCCTTTACTTCCACAAGCACTTTCACTGGATAGAGGTTGCTTGGTAAAATATCTATCCAAAGAAGTTTGGCTTTGCCTACTTTTTAAAATGTTTCTAAAATGACTTAGGCAAATGTCATTAAACTGAGCAGCAATACGGCCAGTGTGAACCTTTTCGGGATGTTTCTTTTCAATAAAATCAGTCACTTTCTGATAATACCTCACGATTTCTTTTATCGAGCGAGATCCTTCCACTACGAAGCAAACATGTGGACTGAGACCAATGAACAGAAGTGAATAAAAAATGGCATTGCGAACTAATGTAACGTCGTATGGTGAGTTTTTGTTCGTATTGTGGAGCAAAAATATGTTCGAATTTCATGTTGTATCCTGAAAATTTCATATGCTGGGGTTTTCATATCCTGAGGTACCACTGTATATAGTTAATATTTCTAAAATTGAATTTAATCTCTTTCTTTTCTAACTTGTATTGTATTATTTAAATTCTTCATACTAATCATTTATTACAAGTAATTTTCCTGTTGGAGAAATTATATATTTTCATGATTTTTTCAAACAGTATTTAGTTAAAAAATAAGTTTATTGTATTACTTCCTGGAATTCTTTTACATTGATCAAACAAAACAACTTAATTTTTAAATTCAAAATTTCTTTGAAAAACTAACCTCTATCAAAATTGTACTGACGCAGAGTGATTTCATTCCAATATTTTCCCGTTAGATAAACCAATTTCTTTGGTTTTTCCAGGCGTTTTGCTGCAAGAGCCGATTTGTGGGCTTCAAATTCTTGGACTGACATTTCACTTAAATGTTTCTATATGATAGAAAAATTTTCATGCTATAAATTTAATATCAAATATTTTCACTAATAAAAGAATTACTTACTTCAATAAATATTAGAAATGCCTCAATTCTTGAATCTACATATTCAGGACTCTTATCTGACTGTACTATAATATGTACACCTTGAACACCACTGGCTCTTCTAACTCCGCTAAATACAATATAACCTAGAAAGTAAAAATTTTAATAGTTTGATATTTAATTATTTGATTACCACTAGAATAATAATATGCTTTATTATTATTATGATCAGTATATGATCTTCCTGAAATCTCATCCATATATATATATATATCAGGAAGATCATATACTGATTATTATAATATATATAAGATAAAATTACTGATTTTAAAGGTACAATCAAATGATTTTCTATCATACTAAAAGTTATCACTAGTGTTAAAAGAAATATTGTATTAATATTTGGCATAATGTTTGTGTTATAACTATAAATGAAAATCAAATATACCAAACTGTATTTTTTTTAATTAGATATGCATCTTAAATTCAATGACTTTCAGGAAAAACTACTGGATGATAATTATAAATGGATATATGAAGGATGTCCAGAAAGTACCATTTGCAAAAATTGAAAAGATAATTTGCTTTCAAGGTATATCTTTTGTCTCACATGTCACTATACATCTTTTCAACTTTGAATATTGAGACATTTGTCATAGCATTGCACAAGTTTTTTGATTCCTTCTGAAAAGAAGCTTGCTGCCTACGTGTTAACCAGCCCTGAATGGCAGCCTTCATAGCATTATTGTTATTGAATTTCTTTCCTGCTGAAAATTTTTAAAATTTCCTGCTATTGAATTTCTTTCTTGCTAAAAAGTTAGATGAAGAAAAACATGAAAGTCTGTAGGTACAAGATCTGAGCTGAATGGTGGATGCTGAAATGTTTGCCAGCCAAATCTTGCAAGAAGTTGGTACATTGCACCAGCAGTGTGGGGCCATGCATTGTCATGCAACTGAATAACTCCAGAAGTGAGACAACCTCTTCCTTTGTTCTGAATGACTTCTGCAATTTTCATAAGATTTCACAATAAGCAGGTGCACTTATGATTTAATTTTTTGGAATGAACTCGACCAGCAGAATACTGTGTTGCTCCCAAAAAACTGTGCACAGAAAAAGTTCAAGCATGATCTGCTTGAACTTTTTCTGTGGTGGCAAATCAGTATGCTGACGTTGCATGAATTGCTGCTTGCACTGACAGGAGACAAAACTTGACTTCTATTTGACACCAATTTATAGATCAAGAACTCATTGTTGTCCTTCTGATAACATTCCAAAAATCTCAATGCAGATCCCATTTGAGTTTGTGGACATCTGTCAACTTTTTGGCACTTACCTCATGCAGAGCTTATGATAAAGAAAATGCTCTGTTTTGATTTTGTGGAAAAAAGCAAGAAATTTCAGGAAAATGCACATGGAACTCAAAAATATTAAATTTTCTGTTCACCTGTTCCAGAAGGTTGGCAGTAATTAATGAGGTATGACTACTCTGTTTTCATTGTGTACACTGGTTCTTCCTGCTTAAACATTATTTGCCATTACTTTTTCACCATACACACAGCAAATCTTTTGATGAATTTCAACTTGACTTGCAGGAACTTGATAGCTCAGACTTTATACTTTGTGAGATTGAGAATGTACAAGAAAATTGATAAATACAATGACTGAGCATTGCATTCAACCAAACATATGTCCAGAGCAGGAAATTGAATGTTATATGTGGCATTAATGTGGCAAATCATTATGGACTCCACCTGCTAGCCACTGTGTGCAAACAGTACTTACTTTCTAAAAAACCAAATACTTATATTGTTTTCACAGTGTAATGCTTGACTCGATGCACAAGTGCTATAAGTCACTCATTGCAGTAATAATATAGTGTGTCTATTTTGTGCTATATCATTGTTGCAGTAATCAAGTGATTATAATAATTTTTTTTTAAATTATATCTTGTATGAATTTAATTTATTTTTAAAAAATATTTTGATAACTTTCTACTAAAAATATTTACTATTATTTTGTATTCTGTACAAAATTAATATCTTATTACACATATTAATGAAACATATCCACAGTGTATTAATATATTTTAACATTGAGTTGAGAATACTGGAAAATATGACATCAAAATTTTGTAAACTAATATGATTGATTTTATACTAATTAAACAAATTAATACTTTTAATTTTTATTGGATTAAAAATGTCTTACTGAAATAAGTATGTAAAATAAATGTGTGTGTAAAGATTTAGTACTGATTTAGTAAGTTTGAAACAACTGCTGAAAATGATGAATTAATTCTTCAGGTTTAATGAATTCTTGAAGTAATACTTTGAAGATTTTTTACTGTATGATTTTTTAAATTGTTATTTCTATATTAACAGTATTGACTTTGAAAGCTTTAATTAGTAACATGTATTTCATTAAAAAATTCAGGATACTAAAGTTCACTAAAAATACAGATGTAGACAACCCAAACAGTATCTTTCCATAGAGACTCATCTAAAACATGCTGCGACTTGACCTTTCATTTCAGGCTACAGCTTCAGTAAATTATGTAAAAGACAAAATGTCATTGGTGAGTGGATATTATGAAAAAATAAAATATAGTGGTTTTTATTATTTTTTTATATAATGTATTGAGGCTCTAGTTCAAATGAGAGGTTGAGTTAGTGTATTTTAGATGAGTTCCTAGTATAAAAAAAAAGGACAATAAATGATGCCATTTGGACTGTCCATATTTGTATTTTTAGTAATACAGTGGTATCTCAGGATACAAAATTAATCCGTTCCGAAACTGAGATCGTATCATGAAAATGTCCTAAGGTGAATCATTTTTCCCCATACGATTACATGTAAAACCAAACAATTCATTCCAACACAAAAAACACACTCAAATTAAAGCTAAGTAATACATTGAAAAAAATGACTATAGTAAGCAAAACACTGAAAAATGCATTTTGTAGTTGTAAATGTATAAATAACCATAATAAAATAATTTGATGATAATAGAATAATAAATTGATTAAAGAAATGTAGTTTTATTTGCACTTTACNTTGTGCTATATCATTGTTGCAGTAATCAAGTGATTATAATAATTTTTTTTTAAATTATATCCTATTTTATATGAATTGTATTATTTAGTTTATTATTTAAAAAAATTTTTTTTCGACAACAGATAAAGCCAGATGTAGGCAAAAATTAATTGATGTATAGAAATTAAATCAATATTTTGGGGTGGTATGTATAATATTATCTGTCAGAAGTATGTTAACATAACTGCAGAATTTCAGAGCAATTGGTCAAACACCCTAGGAGTGAACAGCAAAGAAACATCCTCATTTATGTATATATATATATAATTATAAAATCTGAGTTGCAAACTCAATTATAATTATAACCATTCTAGTGATTGATGTAATTTTTGTATAATGCACTAACTTAAAAAATTGAAATGATAGAATTATAATGAAAGATGATTAATTTAAATATGTTTATCACATTTTTTACTGGCTGAAATAATAAAAAACTAATAATGCTAAACTGAGTCAAAGTCAAGTTTTCAGCAATTTTCACAGAATGAATTTAAGACTAGATGAATTTGAAAAAATGGTAACTTATTCATGTTTCCAAACTCAAATTAGGGATATGAGGCATTTTTTATCACTTCAGAAGTCTATAGTCTATATATAATGGTTTCTTGGTTTATTATTTTGTCAGATGGGTAACTTTGACCGAGCATCTTGAATAAAAACTTTATATCTATGTAAAACGTCTCTGTAATCCAAGCAATTATGGTAGACTGACTCACATATGCCACCATATATTTTAACATGATAATGTAATCCTGTGGTATTAGACACTTCAATAGCTCTTCAAGCACGTACAATATATCTACTGAGTGTTTTAGAGGCTGATTGATGTATAACATGTGTTGGTGTTACGGATGTGTTGTTCTCTCTTGCACAATTTTATATGCTTAAGACACTGAGGAGGGGTTGGGATATATTGCACCAACCTGAAATGCATATGTAATTTAATTTAAGAATAAAATCATAGTTCATAACTGAAAATTTGTTGTGAGTCCGTCTACCATAATTTTTTGGATTACAGAGACATTTTACATAGATATGTAATATACAGCAATCCAATTTATATTGTAAAACACTTTATTTTCAAAATTTTAACCATATCCAGAAAATATCAGATTTATAAATCACAATATTCAGTTATAATGTTCTCATTGTGAAATGAAGTGTATCATGTTCATTGTTTGCTCAAAGTGACAATGTTGATAAGTTCGTATAACATTTTAAAAATGTTATTACATACAGTAAAGACACATTTCTGTTATGCTGTATTCCTATATTTTTTGCAATGTTAGCATTTATATTGTATGGATTATTATTTTATCATGCCTTACACACACACACATTATATATATAGTGGTACCTTGTACTTTGAAGCATTTGAAGTTAGAATTGTGTAAAGTTCAAACACTAAATTTGAAAAAGTGTGTGCACAGTGGAAAAATGTGCTTGAAGCATAAATGTTATTTGTTGTCACCCTAGTCATCTCTTGCTCTTGCATTATGGTTGTATGTTTTCAGTACTATTTTGCTTTATTTTGGGTGTGTTTAGTTACACATATATTGTGTGTTATTTGTTGATTTTTAACAATTTATTCCCACAAGTTTTCTTCATCCACAGCTTTTGTACACACTACCACTGTATTTGATATGAATTTCTGTTTACATTATGTTACATCTACTGAAAATATTCATTCATATCACATAAAGACCAAAGTCTGACACATTAATATACCATCTAATTTCTTATTTCCATTAAAACATTCAAACATTGTTCAGATATTCATTGTATAAATATTTTTTAAAAACAAAGACAAAAAAGGGTAGTGATTAATGATTGTAGAGCTTAACATAGACAGATTCACCCAATACGTAAGTTATATTAAACTCCCCAATACTGCAAAATTTATTCAATGATCTCAAAGTATATAATTACATACTGCATTTTGAAAGATGACAATTGATTAAATGCCAATTCCTATAAAAATAGGTGGTGTGGCTATTAAATAACGAGACTGATGCTGTAAAACATTTTATTTTGATTTCATACATATTTAGTTATTATCACCTTCAATATACACCTCTCCTCTATCCCTACAATGCTCCATGCAAATCTTCCATTGTTCAAAACAGTGCTGGAAGTCTTCTTCTGTCAGCTCCTTCAGGACGTGTGCCGCTTTCTCTTTCACAGCTTCAATGGACTCAAATCTTGTTCCTTTTAATGCAGATTTCACCTTAGGAAACAGATAGAAGTCACACAGTGCAAGATTGAGTGAATAAGGTGGATGGTTTAACACTGGGATGCTGTACTTGGCTAGAAACCTCTTGGTGGAGAACCCATGACTTGTCCTTCCACAATTCGATTCGTTTTTTCCTTATTCTTTCACGGAGTTCAGCAAGAACGTGAAGGTAGTAATGTTGATTAATAATTTGACCTTTCAGGAACCCAGTGATGGTACACAATCCCATGAATATTGGAAAAAACAATCATCATTGCTTTGAATTTTGATTTACTCATTTAAGCTTTTTTGGCTCTTGGTGAGGTTGAGCTCTTCCAGTGCATGGATGTTCAGTCAATAAATTATAAGTTTCATGTGAAATTTCACAACAATTCATTGCTCTATTGTTATACTTAACATTTTTCCAGCGAAACAAAAAAACAACTCTAATGCGAATGAAAGTTATAGCTATACGGATTTGTTTACAGAAGCAAGAGGTACAGCATTTGAAAGAGAAGGCTTCACACTGAACAGCTGTCGGTCGCTGCTGTTTGGCGCATGCTTACTTCTTCTGTAGCAGCATCGGTCTCATTATTTAATAGCCACACCTCATATACAAGTATTAAATTTTCATCAAATTTGAATCAGCAATTTTGGTTAACAGATTTATTAAAATTTTACTTTTAAATTCCAGTTCATCATTATAATATCTAAAAATCTCAAATAAAAAGTTAAAATCTTAATTTAAAATCGCAAATAAAAATTAGTAACTGGAAGTAATATATACAAAAAACAATATTTATCGTTAATTTATTAACCTTAAATTACAGTTTCCTACCCAACTGCTCTTGTGTACGCAGGACATTAAAACAGGGTTCCGTGATTATTTGGCAAAATAATTCTACCAACATATTACATTTGGTCTCTTGAAGCCCACACTGATAATAAGCTTCCACAGCTGAACTGCGATGAACATTATTTAATTTCTCCAACTGGAAATGGGATCCTAAAATTTATTAAAAGTTTATTTAAAATAATTAAATTACTTCAAAAACCAATGCTGAACTAAATAACAGAGTCTTGTCTTGTATATTCTAATTTTCAAATAATATAAAGCTAAAAATAAAACCATTACACAATTCTACTTATCTTTAATTTTTTTTTTAACAATAAGTTTTCTACATTAAAAATTCAAAAAACTATTATAAAAAGACTAACAGCACGAAACCTTTCTCACTAATTTCTAGCCTTATTAACTGGAGTACAAACGTTTTCGGCCTTCTTAATAGGCCTTCCTCGGGTACACTGTGGAGCGTCGGTTAGAAGAAGTTAGTCTTCTAACCGACGCTCCACAGTGTACCCGAGGAAGGCCTATTAAGAAGGCCGAAAACGTTTGTACTCCAGTTAATAAGGCTAGAAATTAGTGAGAAAGGTTTTGTGCTGTTAGTCTTAGAAATAGTTCTAGCTACATATGCATAGTATTATAAAAAATATCACTAAACATTAAAATTTTTTTTGCACCTTACCTTTGGTCAGCTGATATTCTCGATCTCGTATTAACTGACTTGGCAATAGAGGTCTCCATTTCATAGTCTCTTCCAATTTACTTTCAACTATAGACACCAAATCAAGTGCTTTCTATGTAAAAGATAAAATAAGAGTAAATTTTAATTAATGAAATTTAACAAAAATACTTAAAACTTTAATTTCATATTTTGTAACTAATATTTTAAGCATAATTTAAAAATTTTATTTTATAATAAATATAATAATTACTTGTTTAATTAAATTGCCATGAATAAGTGCTTCAATGTGCATTCTTGATAAAAGTTGAGGTATAATAGCCTGTACTTTATCTACTGTAAGTTCTGCAAGTATAAATATTAAAAAAAGTTTGTTAAATTTTTATATTTGACATTTTCTCAACAGAATGAGATTTGAATTCAAACCTTCTGCAGCATCTAACAGTTCTGCATTTGACCAAATACGTTCTGCAAGTAATAGACAAGTATAATAAATGGCATGTTGGTGCGGTTGTTCAGCTTCAAAATTTTTCAACCCTCGAATATACTAGAACAAATTTGATTAATGATAAATAAATATCTTATTTCAATTTGTCTACTAATTAAAATTGAATATTAAATTACTTACTGCTTCTTTTAATATTTCAAAACGTTTTGGATCTATTTTGAAATTTGTTAATTTATCCATAATTTTTTGTAACAATACATGCTGCTTATCATTATAACCTTTTACAGATAACTAAAAAAATTAAAGTTTATATTATTAAATGAAATAAAAATTACAAAAAGCACAGAAAGTTCTTGTAACAGAGATAAAAAAATTTTGGTAATAAAGTAAATATATTAAAATATAGTTATATAAATGTAAGATGATTATTAAAATAAAAATGCATCACAAATATTTGTGAAATTGAGATTTAATTATGACAATAACTTCATTAATATTTCCATTAGATTATAAAAACTAAAATAAAAACTTAAGCATTTTAATTTGAACTTTTTATTGTCTATATATCTCTACTCAATAAAACAGAAATTTCATATTTATATACAATATTTAGTAATATATATATATATATGTGTATATACTATATAATATATATTACTAAATATATATATAGTAATATATACACACATATATATCAATATATGTAAATATATTAATGTGTATGTGTGTGTATATATATATATATATACACATACATACATACACACACATATATATGCATAACACTTCCAATATATAATTATTTATAAAAATATTTCAAATATAGTGGTATCTCATACATCAAATTTAATTCATTCCAGGCGCTGTTCAAACTCTGAATCATTTGAAGTCCAAATCAATTTTTCCCATTAAAAATAATGGAAAGTCAACACATTCCCTGACCCTAAACAATACCCATTTTTATAAACTGAAAACAACAAATATACATAATTTAAGGTAAAAATAACAGTTAAATGCCATAATGATAAATTAAAACATGAATATAATAAAACATGTAAATGCTACATAATAAAATGAAAATTGAATTAACTGGTCACACATTTTGGGGTGGAATATACATTATCTAAGTTAGAAGTATGTAAACTTAACTGCTGAGTTTTGTAGAAATTAGTTGAATGGCCTTGGTGTGTATAGCGAGCGAACAAACAAACATCCTCATTTATATATATATAGATTAAATTATACAGATGTGTTATTTAATTATATTTGTGAAATTTAACACATTATTTCTAATGTGAGATTGTATTCTTTGTTTAGAAAGTTTTATTAAACTTTTCACTTCACATTTTGTTTGAATAAAATCAGATTCTGATAAAAAGAATATCAAACATATTATGTTTTACAACTTTTGCAAAATGCAGTAAAAAACAGTAAAAAAAATTGTAATATGTATGGGTAATATGCTCCAAAACTTCAAACATGTTCAAATGTGGTTTAAGAAGTTCCATTCAGGAAATTTTAAACTAAAAGATAAAAAAGACATATGGGACACCCAAAAGCTGTTGTGAGATTAGCAGTGGATCACTGGGTTAATCCCCAAAGGACCACTTAATCTGCATGGGCTGGTGAAGCCTGATCTCGGAGTCGTTCGGATGGCTAGGAGGGCAAATCAAGTGGTGAATGCTTCGGTAAGTCAACAGGTTTCCTCGGATTGACAGGAGAAAGGTTCAACAAAATAACAACGCATTTCAATAAATGCTTTATTTTGTTGAACCTGAATGGCTAAGCTAGCATACATACACAAGGCAATAACAATATATAGGTTAAATGCAGTTAAATACAACTAAGAGTAATGGCGGATAACATACTATCTTCCTTCCTCTAAGGCAGGGGTGTCCAACCCGCGGCCCGCGGGCCGCATGCGGCCCAATAAAGGTGTAAACAAAACCGACAAATGTTTTAATTTTTTATTATTTATTTATTTCAATGGCATAAACTCAGAAAAAAAGTTTCACAAAGCCATAAACCTTTATTCATATTTTAGTTTTGAGTAGAAATGAAATATTTTCATGTACAGTACTTGGAAATATGTGAATGAGGAAGGATTACTAAATAAAGCTGGAGTTGTGACTAAAAGGATTATAGATCCAAATTTGGTGAAAGGAGACAAAGGACAAAAGATAAAAAGTTGTCAGAAAGATTAAATAGTTCTTCCATTAGGCAAATATTGAGTCTTAATTTTCCAACCTTTCTCACTTCTTTATCTTTTGTCCTTTCTCTTCTTTTTCCGAATTTGGCTCTATAATCCTTTGAGTCAAAACTCCAGCTTTATTTAGTATTATCTTAGTATTTCAAATGTGGCTACTTTTTTTTAGTTTAACGTAAAAAAATATCATTTGGCGCTTTGGCTACTTTTTGGGGCTACATATCATTTATAAATATATTAGTTGAATAAAAATGCACTTTAAAATGGTGTTTCTTCGCTTTTTATTAATCAGAGACTCAAATAAACCAAATATTTGCGTTTTATCAAATAAATGTATTTATTTATTTCTAAGTAAAAATTGAAAGTGTCTGTAGAAATAATTTTTTAAAATATCCTGTTTCGTGATAAAGTTTTAATACTTATTATTATAATCTAGACATGTTAATCCTTCAATATACTTGTATATTGGGCCACAAGTATAATATACTTGTGGCCCAAAACTCCTTGACTTCTTCCAATGCGGCCCAGAGAAACAAAAAGGTTGGACACCCCTGCTCTAAGGGTTAAACTAAAAATATGCTTAGGTAGAGAGAGTCTGCAGGTTCACCTCCAAGGGTTAAACTAATTACCTCAAGAGAGCTCTATGTGGGGCAATTAAGTGTTATGTGGAAGTTCCTATGGTCTTCTACTGGTATCTTCTCCTTCCTTTGGTTTGAGTCCGTTGTATGGAGCTCCGGGAGACGAGATGCACACATCGACAAGTATAACTTCTGAGAGATCGCCCTGAGCTTCCGGGGATTTGAGCTTTTATCTCATTCGCGTGGAAAACCTGACACATGATTAACTTTTGTTGGCAATGACGGTGCATTCTTCACACCTAAGTGTAAACTTTCCTAGCTAGTAGTTATACAATTGGTGAAATCCGATCTAGTTCAAATTCTTTGGGTTTTTTCCGAGGATCTTTACAATTAACAGAAAATTTAGATTTTTAAGAGGCCCATAAAAATCTGCAGGCTCACACTGTCAATGAAGAAAAATTGCAGGAAGAAATTGTTAAAAATCAATGAACAACACACAATATATATAAGCAAACACCAGTAAAAATAAGCACCGAAAATATGAGTATAATGAATGAGAACAAGAAATGACTTGGGCATACAACAGATTGCATTTACACTTCAAACACATTTTTCATCGTGCATGCAGTTTGAACTTTGAAGCATCATTCAAACTCTGAAGCAAATATTTGTCAAATTTAGCATCCAAACTCTGAACTGTTTTAATATGAGGTACTACTGTATTTTATAAAAGATAGTAAAAAATATTATTCTAAATGACACAGTTACATGAATTTTGTAAAAAAAATTATATAAAGAAAGTAAATTACTCAGTGACTTTTCCCTCTTTAAAATGTGTTGTGTATATACATACACACACACACACACACCTTTTTTATTATAACTTGTGCATACAATATCAGCATTATTATTTATTAAATTACTTATACAAGATATATGAAAAAGCAATCAAAAGTCTAAAATACAATCAGAACAATTTAAAAATACAAAACAAATAAAGTTAATATTCATATAAAAAAATGTTTTAAACTGCACTTCATAATGATTGGATTTTATTTCATTGATTGTAAAGTAATTTTAGATATTTGATGGTGATAATAATAATAAAATAACAAAAAAAACTCACCAACATTCCATATTTTGTATTGTTGAGATTATATGATAATCCTGCAAGTTCAGCAGCATAAGTATATTCATTTAATGCATCTTTGAATAACTGAACAAACATATAAGTCATATTTGAATGATGAGGATCCAAATAAGCCAAAGGACTAGAGAAGAAAAAGTGAACTCAATAAAATGAAAAAATATAAGCAAATTTAAATTAATTTCCTTTTACCTTTCAAATTCAAAACTAAGAATTGCTTTTGGTAAATGAAATTCATCATCTTGTTTAAACCAAATTCTGCTCATCTCAGAATTCTGTAACAAAATAAATCTGTTCATGTGTGTGTATCAAATATTAAGTTAGATAAATTTCTAATCAAAACGAATCATAATATATATATTTCCACCATAAAAAGCATCATACCACATTCATAACTACTGTGTAATATAACAGAATAAAAATACTACTAATAACAAAGTATCTTATTACCACTAAATATTTTAAAAACAAAATTTTCATTAGAATTTTATTACTTTCTTGATATTTTGCATTTTAATTTTTAAGTTTCCTATGGATCAGCACTTTTTCCATAGGTTAGAACAAAATCATACATCACAGAGAGAAATGCTAGTTTATAATATAAAACTATATTGTTTTCTGTAAACAATTTATCTATCTTATAATGATGTAATATCAATTAAATTTATTATTTTATTAAAAAAATATACTTTACAATATATTTTGTATCTTTCTGCAGTTTTAGAAATTTGTTCATCTGCTTAGGTCCTAAATAGAACATTTCAATTTCACAGATTTTGCATTGTTTTAAACAGATAGTTTCATTTTTTGTTTCTCTAAGAACATTTTACTTTAATTTTGCATTTGTAAAATATAATTGCATTCTCAAAAACTAGATATATAATTGTTCACTTAGACATTAGTAGGAATAATTATCATCTTATTTTGATAGTAATAAGACTGTCTTTATAACTTGAATTTTATACCAGACTTTAATGGATAATATCAAAAAATAGAGCCTTTTCAAGATTTCAATAACAATAATAATAGTGTTTGTCAATCTTAATTTATTTCAAATACTGGCAGATATTTTCAAATTAATTAACAATCATAATTGGATAATGAAAATAAATTATGTTTTCTTTTTTTTTCAGTGTAAGTTTTTGTTTTTTAATTTAAATTTGAAAAAAAAAATTGAAATTAAAAAAAACAACAGTCTTTCTTCTTTTTCTCTTTATTTATTATTTTAAAACATTTTCATTTGTTATATATTATTGATCATGTTGAAAAATTCATACTTACTTTTATCATAATGGGTAAATTAGAATTCTACAAAAAGAAGAAAAAACAAATTAAATTAAAATTAAAATAGTTAACTTAATAATTTAATTTTATAAGCTGTCATACATGCCTCAGGTTCTCTAGGTGCAAGTTCAAAATTGGTTGGTATAAATTCATTCTTGGGTGGTAAAAGAAGATTATTATGGGTACCAACTAATTTCCATTTCTGGTTAAAAAAAAAGTTATATATATTTTAAGATAATTTCAACAAGATATCAATCTCTTATTATTACATAATACCAAAACAAGTATAAATTAATGTATTTAGTAAAATGACAATTAGCTATGCATATAAAGTAAAAAATAACATTGGTATAACAGAAAAAATTTTGTTCCATAAAACAAATTCTAATATATATAGTAGTCTTCAGAAGACAGATTCAAAAATGTTTGCTAGTTTATTCTAACAAAATATTAGAATTCATATATTTTTCAAAAATTTATAAATAATGTGCATTTATTTTAATATTTGCTTGAGAAAGAGAGTAGGCTGTCAGTCAGTAATATAGACTAAGTTATGATTAGTTGAATCAATTCATTTTTCCAATGATCATCACTATCATTAATTGATTTTTTTTAAATCAATTAATCAAATGTATATTTCACAACATTATCATCTGTCATATTAATAAAGAAATTAGTTATTTTAATACAGTCATTTCTGAAAGGATAAATTGTAACTTTATAGTTATTAAATTATAGAGCAAATTCAAGACAATTAATAAATTTAAAAATATAAAATTATATAAAAATACAAAATTAAATTTAAATAATTTATTAATTATTTTCAGTACTTTTCTCAACATTTGAGTTTATGTTTACAAAAATTTAAGAAAATTTTTAAAATATATATAAATATATATAAATGGTTTGCTGTATATTAGTTAATATGACGATTTTAGTCTCTGTAATCCAAAATTATTCTTGGTAGACAAATCTCACAGCAATCTTATTGGCAAATTAAATTTATTTTGTAAAGACTACATCAAATGCATTTCGGGCTGGTCTAATATTTTCCAGTCCCTCTTAAAATTTTTAAGTAGACAACACACACGAATGTGTTTTTTCAAATTTGCCATAGAATTGTTATTTTCCTCGTGTGTGTGAAAAGACTAATTGAAAAGACACACTTGTATGTATTTTCTACTTAATAATTTTCTTAAATTTTTGTAAACTTAAACTCTAATTGGTAAAAATTTCCAGGACAAAATTTTATCTTTGAAATTGCTTTAATTTAAATAGACATTCTCCCTTTAATACATAAATTAATCAATCATGTTACTTAAACATTAATAGTAATATAAAAATTTTATAACTCATGAATATTTAAATAATTGTTCATTAGTGTTTAACTATATGTCATTACAAATATACAAACATTTATCACAAATTTCTTACTAAATTAAAATTTTTTTATACAATTTTTAGATTATTCAGAGGCCAACTTTAACAAATATATCTTTATTAATCTAAGAAATTGCTGTTCTTAACTATAAAAATTAAATTTAATACTGTATATATCAATTCTATAAATTCCCTGATTATTGATAAATGATTTTACTTCAAATAATTAATTTTTTAACTATACATTAGTTCTGATATAAGTAAAAATTTCATTCAAAATTTAAAAACACATTTCCTACAAACTATTTATTCAATAATTGTTTGTCATAACCTTGAAAAAAATTTAAAAGTTTAATCTTTAATTCAGCATTTATACTTATAGCCCAATTATATGGCATTTGCAGGGTTAGTGCTATGTATTGGGTTTGTTGGAACTGTTTATATTTAATTTAGCATTTATAACTAATAATCATGAAGGATAAATAAATTAAGAGGGGGGAAAAAGCATTTATTAGAAAATAAATTAATTAAATTTATTTTATTTAATAACCATTAAAAATGCTAATGATTTTTTGACTGTCAAAAATCATTTAAAATTGCTAAATATTTACAGACATTTTGCTAAATGTTAATTAAAACACTTTTGATAATTCTATCATCTCAGAAAATGGTCAACTTGCATTAATATGAATTGCTAGGGGAACAATAGTTAGTTCGCTTTATCGAAAATTTGCATCAACAATTTTCAGGGGTCAAGGTTGTATAATTTAGGGAGTTAAAAGGTAATTGAAATGTCTAAGTTACAAAATTTTAATTAATTTACTAAACAAAGTTAAATAAAATTAAATATATTTACAAAAACAAATTAATATTCTAAATGATTTTCAAATCAAACAAAATGAGAAGGAAATGGTATTTGCCTTTTAAGAGTGGAGCTGTATATCAAGATGGTTAAACAAAGCAAAACTAAAAAAAATCAGTGCTTTTTTCCTGTTGAAGATTGTTTGAATATGTAGAAAAAAAAATCATATATTTTTTCAATCATGAATGTCATCTTTAATATTCATTCACATCACTTTCAAACTGTAGAGAGTATGATGCCTACTGCCTCTGTTATATCCTTGAAAGAAAGCTTAGAGTGCTGATCATTGTTGTCAATCTTGCTTTCATTTACAGAATCATCACATTTGTTGGACAACATTCTGACCAGTTCTGATACTATCAAGCAGAGTATAATATATGAGTTTGAGTTACGTTAACAGCATTAACTCTTTAGAGACAAAAGAGTAAAAACAGAGCCAAATTTAGCACACAGTAGCCAAACCTGCACTCCCCAATATGCTAACTAGCTTGTGTTTGAATGGGACCACATCCATTGGAGGTGAAACCCATCTTTGTTTACTAGGAAAAGAAAACTCAAAATGGAACATTTATTACAGTACCAGCTTTTACTGTTCACTTTGAAAAGCATAAAAAGCAATGTTGCCATTATAGGAAATAAGATTATTTCTTAGGGGTTGTGAAGGTATTTTATAGTTTGGTTTAACAAATTCTGGTAAAATTTTTGTTCACTTTATCATATAAAGATTAAAGTTGCACTGACAAGAATTCACTTTATCAGTGTTCATTTTAAGGTGAGTTGACTAATCAATATTTATTAAAAAATAATTATCAATACATATTTAAAAATAAATTAATAACTTAAATATATTAAAAAATGAATTTTATAACAACAAAATGAAGAATAATACTGATTTTGATTATGAAAATCAAATTAATTTCAGGTGTACCTTATCATAGTTTGTATAGTTTTAAAAATTTATCATTTTAATTAAGATGTTATTTTATAAATAAAATATAAATAACTTTATTTTTCTAATCAATAGTGTAACTAATTTCATAATAGTTTTATCCAATGAAAATGTATTTCTTCTATGATGATAAAATTAATCTATCATCAATAAAATTTTTACCTGAATTACTGAATCAGGAATTCTTTCAAATTTGTATTTTGTACCATACCAGCATTCTTCACAGTCTACAATATTTTCAAATTTTTTCCCTATTACAGCAACTCTGTGAAATATAAAAAATTATCTTTAACTAAAAAAATTATGAAATTTCAAAATTCAAGTTTTAATTAAATATTAATTTTATGTCTTACTTAGATGTGTACCATACTGTATGAACTTTTGTCCCATCTAATAAATGTTTAAGATTAGTTCTTGCATTTTATGAATTAACTATTCAGTTAATTCATAAAATGCAAGAACTCTCTGATGTGTGATCTATTATGCCATAAAATAAGATCATCAACTTATCTGGTGTACAGGGCTAATTGTTGTTCAAACAAGGAAAGAATTTTGTCCTCTAGTTGATGTATTACTAGTTCACACAATGTTCCGGAAGTGGAGCTTCCCTTTTTTTATGAATAAAATCTATTTGTCCTGCAAATGTGTGTTGAACAGGAAAAGCACCTCATCTGTGCATTTCCTAGACATTAAAAACTCCCTAATTGACATCATTGTCTCAACATTAGTATACAGAAAGCCAATATATAATCTATTGTTCATTCCATCTATATCAAGAGATTCATACTTTCAAACTGGCACATGCGTAGCTAAAAAGTAGCCACAGCACTAACCCTTTAGAGACAAAAGAGTAAAAACAGAGCCAAATTTAGCACAAAGTAGCCAAACCTGCACTCCCCAATATGCTAACTAGCTTGTGTTTGAGGACCATAGTCAAAGACCATACACACATTTTCAATAGTAAGGAAAGTATAGGCAAACTAAATTACATCAAAGAAGGATAGCCATGTTAAAACATGTCCCTTGATAATAGATGAAGATAGCCATAAAAAATATTCCTCATTGACCTCTTAAAGTTGCAAAGCCAATGGTATTTTTTAGTCAGCGGGGTATATCAAACAACTAAAATGAACATACAAATAAATAGCAAGAGTCAATAACATCTCTATTGCATTTAGGTTCAACCCAACAGTATACTCTTTGATTAGGAATTTTGAAGACTCTCTAAATGATCTACAACTTCCAGGAGTATATACTATTCTGGTTACAGACCACAGGGATGGACAGAATTTACAGTACATTGGTACCATGACCTGCCCACTCAACCAATGATTAACGGAGCATTCAGCATTATTAAAAAAAGGTCACAACACTGGCCATATTTGCAATAGATCAACAAGTTCAAGTGCATCTTGACAGAGCCAAACTTCTACATCGCACAAACCAATAAAACAAACTCAAACATCTGGAGAAATTTGAAATTTACAAGGTGTACAGGGAGAAAACAATCAATTTTAAGGATAATAAAACACTTCAAATAATGCCCATGCTTTTGGAAGTCAGTTTTTAATTTTGTAATTCTGTTCATTTTAACAAATCAGACATTATCTGAACCTTTTAAATTTGCTGTTTCAAATTTATATCCTTATTTAGAATATTTCTGTAACCTGATGATGGTTGCTTAAGGCAATTAAAAAAAAACATTTGTTTTGCATTAAATTTACATTTTCAAGGCTGAAGTTTTGGTATTTGACAAGGGTTTCAAATCAGACTACTGAATACAAATCATAAATACAATTTACAATTAATTATAAAATTACACACAAACCTAATATTTTCTGGAACTAATCTATCTAATAAATCTGTAATTAAGTCTGGTCGATATTCATGCAGAAGATAAGGCCCACAGAGAACTTCTTCCATAGGATAATTCTACAATAATAATATTTTTAATTTTTGAATAAATCAAAATTTAAAATAAAGCAAATAATAATCTCTAATTTTTTTTAATAAAAATCATTCAAATTTTTTATGCATTCATTTAGTAAAAAATCTTTCTTAGTAACTAAAAACGTTATTAAGTTCATTAAAAATTATTTTATTAAGAATATGAGTACAAACAGAAAACTTAATGCATATAAAACAAATATATAAATAATCAAAAAGTGGTCTAAATGTAAAAAGAAAATGGACATATAAATGTAGAAGGAATACACTTTTATTCACTTTTTATAAAAGAGGAAAAAAAATACCCATTTCCTTAACTATGTTAAAAGAAACTAAAAAATTTATTTTGTTGTATTTACATGCATAATAACTATAAAGTAAAATGCATATCTGTTGAATGAAAAAAACAGTCACAACGTGTTGTGACTAACTCAAAAAGACCACAAAGTGAAATGAAACCTCAGGAGCTCACAAGTGTTCAAAGTGTCATGAATATGTTCACGTTATCTGTGGAAAAAGCAATGAGAATGAGGGATTTAGTGCAAATGTTACTTGTAAGTTCTGTTTAAGAAAGAACAGCATCAATGCTAAGAGAGAATATGTCAAATCTGGCCTAGAGAAACAAGCACATAAAATGATTTTACTACACAACTCAAAATTTCCTGCAGTTGAAGTTGGTTTGAATGTTTTAGTTAGGGTGCCTGATGTTAATAGAGGATGTTCATAGTTCCCAGAAATGTTTCAGCTGTTGTTATGAGCATTAATCCATCAGGTCTCCATCACTTAGGAAACAAGGAAGGTCTTCTTGATCGACTTTATGCTCATAATGAATTTACAAATTCTGAGAGTAACTTTATTAACATTTAGGACATACCCTCAACTTCATTATCACTTTACTCAAAATCCCTGTTAACATCTGGAAGCAAGCAAGGGTTTATAATGTGCCACTGTAAAAGATACTGTATTGGTAAAAATGCAAATGTTGCTCAAAGAACATAAAATGCAACTCGAAATATCATGATAATAGTTCTTGTAAAAATAACTGAAACATTCTTGATTCTCATAAAAAAGATTGATTTATTAATAAAAGTTTCTGACAAAGTAATTATTTTTAGTAAATTAGTTGTTTGAAATTGTTGACATCTTGAGCACTGCAACAGATTTTAATGAATAATCAAATGTTGTTGAAAGTAACCAAGTTACATTTGTGTATGTGGTGAATAATTTTGTTACCTACTTATATAAGATAATTGAAGATAAATAAATCATAATGAAAAAGAAAATTTTATTTTCTTATCATCACCTCATTATTAGTTAACATCCAGAACTTGTGGTGGCTTTTAACCATAATAAATCCATCACACAGTTGTTTTTAACTTTAGCAGCTGATTTTTGTCATTGTGTAGAGTACATCAAGCACCTACAAGTACACTTAGTTTGACCTTTAGCACTTTTAAATACACCAAAAATAACCAAATGTGCATTTTTCTCAATACATTTTATTTCTTTGAAACTTTTTTAAGTATAAAAATTAAATTTATAGGAAAATTTATAGAACAAATGTTGTTCAGCATTATAAATTGTAAATAAAAATGTTTTGAGGCTAGAACCCATATTTTAAAGTTACAAACCACTGTGTGTCTTATCACCCTCTATTGTGGTTGCATCAGCTAACATTCAGAATGCATTATGGCTTAATCACTGCAACATGTAGTTGTCAAATATAATGAAAGCCATGACACGAATTTTACTTTGTGGTCTTTTTGAGTTAGTCACAATGTGTTGTGGCTGTTTTAAAGTGACCACAATGCGTTGTGGATGATGAAAAATGACCACAACACATTATGGCTGTTTTTTTGCTCAATGAGCATTTTTGTTCTTTGAACCTAACATATATATGTGTAATATATATATATATATATATATATATATATAAACTCTCAAAACTCTAACTATTGATTTTATTGTATGTTAGTTCTCTATAGTGAATAAAAGCTGAGTGATTGCTCTTGAACCTGTGTCATTGGATACTTATCAACATTAAAACTTTCTCTAACTTTTTTGAGTTTATTTTAACATTTATTATCATTATGTTGGATTTAGTGGGTTACTCGGTTCACACCGATGGCTGTGTACTATGCCGGACCAGAGTCAAGGCATAACAACCAAAAACAAAAATTAAATAAGTGTGTCAGTGTCTGTATTCAGGATTTCCTAACAATGTGGCATGTATTCAATATAGTGGCCTTCTGTAGTGTGATTTATGTATTTCTATTCAATTGTAATGTTCCCAGGCTTTTGTGTAATGTGTGTGGTATCACACCTGTACAGGAGAGAACGACAGGTACAATAAGCACCCTTTCCATCCTCCACATATACCTTATTTCCTGGGCGAGTTCTGTGTACTTGCTAATTTTTTCAGTGCATGTGTTTTGTAAATTGTGAGTGTTTGAAATGGCTATGTCTATAATGTACATGATTTTATTGTGTTTGTCAATGAGTGTGATGTCTGGTCTGTTGTGGTAAATTGCTTTATCTGTTATTATGGCTCTGTCGTAGTACTTACTGTTATTTTTTTTTTATTGCAATAACTCAACTATTATTATTATTGTGTTTAGTGAGTATTATTATTACTACTGTTGTTATTATTAAATATGGAATTTTTTGGCTCAGCTGCCATTTGAATTTTTGATACTCCATTAGGAGGATCCATCTGAAATGTTCTGTTTTCACTTCATTGTGAATGAAATTATAAAGTAACTACTAATGGGAATGAAATGGAAGAAACCGATTTGAAATGATATTTTATAAACATTACATTACTAGTGTCATGTTTTCAGCAACTATTTCAGAGGTGAAAATTACACAAGGTTGTATTTCAGTTTAAGCAATTTTTTGTGGAATGTGCACTGATACAGGTTATATTCTAGTGTGAATTGTCCTCACATGATTATGATGATAATCTCATTCATAATGATTATACTCTAATAATTATTTCTTAGATTAAAATTAATAACACACTAATAAAATATCCTTACATGTAACATTCCAGCAAGAGAAAAAGCATACATCTGAGATCGTTCTTTGTCTTTGAAGCGGAACGTCATTGCTGCTAAATCCTGACACTCTTTAAAAACCCATTCTTGAGGTCCTTCAGCTTTTAACATATTTAAATACTGGAAGAGTAAGGTCACAATATCATCTGTATGTTCTGTAAAAAAATATTAGCATTCCATTCTCAATAAAAGAAATTTCTGTTCATATTTGCTATAAATATTGAAATAAAATACTATACTTTATAATCAAGTAATCCATTAATATCAATACATATTACTACAGATAGCAGACAACATTTAAAATGCAAAATAAATTCAAATACTTTTATTTTTATTTAAGCTTTTATTTTATTTTTTCTTTAGGATGTACAGGTATCCATTGTACAGTACAACAAGGTACTTATACAACACAGTTTTGCTCTAACATGGTTTGAAAATTGGGGTTATCCCCCATACAACATGACTTCTGGTTTCGCTCTAACATGGTTTTGGAAATCCTCTGTATAAAATTTCACAATTTTTAAATGTAAACTTTGTTATTCAATATTTTTTTAATCAAGTAAGCATGCTTGTTGTCTCAAATTTGCCCATAGATTTTAGAATATTGAAATTTTCAAATTATTTTATGCTTTTTGTCAGGTTTACTTTAATAAAAACTGACAGTACAATGTTTTTTCTTCCTTGCACTAATTTTCCTATCAATCAGGGTCATTGTCATTGCTTTCAGACTTTAGCTCTTAAGACTGTCACTGTTTTTCTTTTTTAATCTTCATATTTAGTTAAATTCATTTAAACAGTTTTAAGTGTTATTAAATTTTTTTTCATGAATGATTACTTCATTCATAAAAATGACAAATGAAATACAGCAGTATCTCTATACTCAAACACAAATTCTGGAAAAAAGTTGTTTGGTACTCAACTGAACAAATGCGCAACTGCTAGAACAAATTTTTGATTAATAACATTTTTATTTTGTCAACCATAAAATTTTTTATGATAATAATAAAAAATATAAAAATGTTTCTGATACTTCTGATCAAGATTAACAAAAGGCTGAGATGACGACAATACTTTGTAAAAAAAGAATGCCCTCATTTACCTAAAATTAATATTAATGCATAATACAGTACTTTTAATTGTGATTGTTAATTAATTATTGATTGTTTTAATATACATATTTCTCTTAGTAATGAATAGAATAGTATACCTTTGCTAACTTGTGGAATGTCATCGTATGTTTTGTATTAGTCTTTTGTTCTATATAGCACAGATTTGCATAGCACAGCACTTTTTCAGAACATAACTACTGCATTATATGAGAGATACCTGTCAGGGCTGCGGAGTTGGTAAAAAAACACTTGACTCTGACTCCTGATAATTTTAGTAGGCTGACTCAGACTCCCAACTCCAGCAAAATTAAAGCCATTTTATGGGGGCCAAAGGTGCTCAGAGTAGGCGGAGGTGCTCATAGGGGTACCCTACCCCTATGAGCACCTCTGCCTACTCTGAAAGAGCCTGGGGCATTTACTCAAATACTTTTATAGTTAATATTTTTAATATTTAACTTACATTAATATTTATTTGTATAAAAAATTTTTAACAAATATTTAATAAGAGGAGAAAGGGGGCAATAAAATTGTACTTCTACATATATTTGACAGCATTTGCACTTCAGTTTCATTCTTTCAGAAGAGTTAGTCCAACTAAAAAGTGTGCGATCTAGTTAGCTACTTCAGCCCCTTGTTCAGAAAAGAAAAATATGTACTCTGATCAATTAGTCTGGCTCATTCAGAAAAATAGAGTACTTATTTAGAGTGGGGATAATAAAGAAATGATTAAAAAATATTCAAATTCAATTGGGTCAAATTAATTTAACTACTAAATACAAATACTACAAAGAACACTACACATTTAATAAATTAAATTGATGCATTTTGTATTTAAAATAAATGAATTATAACAAAATACAAAAAGGTTTTAAAAAATTAATAAATATATAATAAATTTTCTTTCATTTAAATAAAAAAACTAAAGTAAATTCAAAATGCAGGAGTCAGAGTTGGCACGTTTTTTCCAACTCTGACTCAGACTCCATAGCCCTGATACCTGTAATACAGAATTCAAATGTAAACTGAACACACATAAATTCAGTTTAAAAAATAAAACAAATAATTCCTTCAAAACAAATGACTATCTAAAACTGTAAAAAGAAAATTTTACATATAACTTAAAATTTTAATATTTTTTAACATTTAAAATTTATGTTTCAAAATGATGATATGATGCAGCATTAAAAGAAAACTTGCTGTAGTCTACATATAAGAGAGCTACTTGACACTATCTATTTTATAGTATTTATATTCTTTCTCTAACATTTTAGTTAACAAAAGTTAATATGATTTTTTTTATGGAGAGAGAATTTTTAAATTATCTTAATTTGATCTCAAACTCATGGTGCACCTTGGAATTGAGAAAACATGATATATAATAATTTTGGTGCATTTCCATAAATCAGATATTTTTATACCTAGACAGATGACTGCATCACCATCTTTATTTCAAAATGTCTTAAATATATACTAAAGGAGAAATTTATTTTAAATAATGTGTGAAATTCAGAATTTTAGCAGTTAATTAGTGTGAGAAATTATATTTATTTGTTACATATTGTTTACAAAAAAGGAAGACACAGCTGTCACTTTTTACAAAAAAGGGAAATTGAACTTCCTTTTCTCATGTTCTTATCGCTATTCTTGACAACCATCTGGGTGTCTACCCCCTGTACATCCCGTTAGCGACTGAAAATCCTTTAACACTATTGGTCAGAAAGTACAATAAAAGGGGCAATTTTCCCGCCATTCGAGGCAGTCAACAGAAATATGACATTACCATAGGAGACACGCAGTCTACAAAAGAAGAGATATGCCATACAGACAGCAATCACCCAAAGAATAGATTGCCATATGAGACGCAGTCGACATTAGTCTGAATATGTCATATAGGAGACAGCAGTTCATTGTATAAGGACATAGCCGTAGGAAGCCAGTCAATGCTCCCCAAGAACCTGCCATAAAAATAGAGTTCTCTTGCAAATTCTCACTTGAGCATTCCCTCATCCCTCCTCCGCCTAAGAGCTTCACCAAGGAACTTCATCGTATAGAAAAAGAAGATTACCTTCTATACCTTCAGTCAACGTAGTAATTTTAAATTGATGTAAGCTCTCTCTCTCTCAGTTTAGCAGTATACTCTCGATTTAGAAGTGTAACTCTAGTTAGACTTGATTATGTTCAGTTATATTTATATTTTGAATTATGTATCTCAATGATTTAGTTTATTCAGTAAATCTTTTGTTATTAGTTACATTTGGTGACTCTCAATTAATTGACTCCAGAAATTTACCCCGCTACGATCGGACTTACCTGTGATGCTTCCCACTTGATAAATAAGCCCTCCTTTTAAATACACTATAAATATCGCAAGTTAGGACACAATATTTAGCTAAGTCAATCTTAACTGGTGTCAGCATCCTGACTAGACTGGGATTATACAATCTTGATCTCAAACATCCTTTTTTAGGCCATCTACAGACAACATGGGCAAGTTTCGCCAACTTGTAACCAATTAAGTGATAAAGAGATAAAATATCCTCTTTACCCCTAGTTCCTCACAAATGTATCAACTTAAGTCAACTTGAAATTCTTTATTAATTTTATTGTTTTCAAAAGTTCAATGTATAAAAGAACGCTATTGGCATATAAAATTTCTGATATGTTAAATTTTCATTGAGATGAATAAATATAGTAAATGTATATCATTCTTAAATTTGAATATCAATACAGAAGACATATTTGCTTTTCATACTGTAAAAAAGCATATCACTTCAAAAATAAACACACAGTATAACCTCTGAATAGTGAACACAAATTGGGACTGAGAAGTTGGTCTGCTATTTACAGCTGCCTGTTGTTAGGATGTACAGTAAATGCTGGCAGCTATACTTTATTTTAATACGATCATCACATATTGTGAAGAATACAATGGATTATGAAGATATCAAATTTACATTGAAAATGTGAATTTACCAAAAAGTTTAAATAGGATACATAATTAAAATATATATACAGTATATAATTCTGTATATGTATTTTAATTATGTATCCTATCTCTACCAAAATCTCATTTTAATTGATTTCTAAATAGCAAACAGATTGGACAGGATACTTTAATGAGAACATAAAATTTATGACAAAACATAAACTAAACCAAACGATCACCATAATTAATCAAGTTATTAATTAGCCCAATTAATTATGGTGATTGTTTGGTTTAGTATTAATATATCAGGCTTGAATGTTTGAATGTTAAGTTACAAATGCAATTTGCTAGCCACTTCAAGTGGTGGAAATATATTTGATATTCTTGCATTTATAAAATGTCATTTATGATCTAAGTGACTAATAAATATCGATGTAGTAATTTGTCTGCTTTGTAGTTATGAAGTGGATGTAATTTCTGAAACATTTTCGTTTTTTTCAATAAATGATTTATTAAAATTACACTTAAGCCACCATAAAACTGTTAAGATCATAAATGTGAGAATATCAAATATCTTCCAATGCTTTAAAGTGGCCAGCAAATCACCTTTGTAACAATTAATGAACTTTCACCATATAAACATTGTTGTAACTATTTTAAGTTTCTTTTTCATTACTATTGTACTACAGTTCTTGCTGAATGAACAAATAACTCAGAAAAAGTTTGTGGTTTCTTGATACAACAAGTTTAATAACATTAATATGTATGACTATAAGTGGTGATTGACAACCTAACCAGATTAGTCTTTGATAGATAAAGAGTATTGTTCAGCTTTTTTGCAACCTGTCCTCCCCTATTCCTGTCTTCAGCCAGTCTTTATTCAACATGTACGATCAAAATTTGTTGTCTAAAAAGTATTTTAACCATTTGTTTGTTTTCATTTTAAAATATTTCATACATAATTAATTGTTTCAGAACATTGAAGGCAGGAAATTTATTTTCATAAGGTTGGTTATGGATGACAATGTCCTCTACTTAGAGCATCCATTATTTATAGCTAACAGATGCCTTATTTGAAGCATCTACTTAATTGACATTTTTACAATCCCCAGAGGCATCTGCTATTTGTAAGTATCCATTTAATGGAGGTTTGACTGTACTAATATTTTATTACTTTATACTTTACATAGTCCAATTCAGTTGTGGATAGTCTGTAATCTACAAATATTTTTCAAATGCTTTATATCACATTTTTCAAAATAAACTGTGAAATAAACTGTGAATTTTCTATCATCATGANATTCATTCCAGGAGATTGTTTAAATTCTGAATCATTTGAAGTCCAAATCAGTTTTTCCCATTAGAAATAACAGAAAGTGAAGTAATCCATTCTCAGATCCTGAACAATACTTATTTTGATAAAATTAAAACAGCAAAGATACATAATTTAAGGTGGAACTAACACAATTAAATGCTCTAATAATAAATAAAAGCACAAAAACCGTAAATAAAATACATAAATACTATAAATACTGTATAATAATGTAACCTATACTGTATAATAAAATGAAGATTGCCCTTATTGACAATCTTCATTTTATTATACAGTACAGGTGGACTTTGTCATCTTAACATAGATGTGTGATTTAATTATAACAATTGTAAAATTTAACATAGATAGTGTGAGATTTTATTTTTTGTTTAAAAGTTTGTGTTAAACCATTTACTTCACATTTTGTTTCAATAAAATCAAATTGTAATGTCTTCGGATAAAAGGCATATCAGGCATCTTATGCTTTATGAATTTCAGAAAGGCTATAATGCCATATAAACAGAAAAAAAAAATTGTAATATATAAGGTAAGTTTACAATGATTTAAATTATATAATTTACCTATTCCATCTTCTGTTAAATCAACATTCACAATAAAGAAAGCAAATCCTTTAGCACCACTTTTATAACCACCAACAAGTGTATTAACCCATCCTAGAGAAAAGTAAACAAAAATAACTAAAATTGTTTATTAAAATAATTCACTTTTGGAAAAATATTTTACCTCTAGCTTTCAATTCAGATAATAAACTTCCTGGTCCTTCATGTCCAATAAGATGCCCAAGATAATGTCCTGGCTGAAATTAATTTACATTATTATAAATTATTTGAATGCATTATTCAGGAACACTCACTGAATCATTTGTCATTTATATTTATATATAAACAAACATACAAATGATGCATCTAACATCTGTTATGTGTTATGGAGTACAAGTAAAATACAGACAGTTGTTGGCTTTTGAATGTAAAATATTCCCAAAAGCACAGATGAAAATCAAATGTCCAAAAACAATTACTTGTCACAATACTAAACTGCAATTTTTAATCATGTTTTAATTTAAAAAAAAACATCATATGATTTCCAGATTAAAAGTTCATATTGCTACTTTGGAAGAAAACGAGCATAACTCAAAAAAGTGCACTTTTTCAATTATGTCATAATCAAAACAAAAATATAGTAAATTTTTATGTGGAAGAGTGTCACAAAATAACTTGCGTATTCGGCCACTAGGAAGCAGTTATGTGGGAGATAAGTGATATTCAGTTAAACTTTGGTTAAATATTTGCATGGGATTTTTCTCAAAACTGATAATTTTGAATTATGCCGGTTTTCTTCCAAAGTACCGATATATAGGGCCTCCTAATCAGGGCCTCTAAGCTTTCCATATGGGGTCTTCATTTTTATCGATCTATCTTCTTGGAATTAAGGAAAGATGGGTGGACAGATTAATAATAATTGGAATCTCTAGGTCTGCAATTTGAAAATTGCAGTCCAATCAAGCATGTTACACATAATATATTTCATTTCCAGATAGTTAAAAAAAAAAAAAAAAGTATAATCTTTTATTAAAGTTTATTAAATTAAATAAATCTTCAAAAGTTTTAATTTTTTATACTAAATATGCAAAAAAAAAATATAAAAGATTATTTAAAATGTTAAACTACTAATTAAACAGAAAACAGAATGAAAATTTTAAGTAAAAATAGTAAAAAAACCATGGCCAACAGTATTACATTTAATTGTAGAAATAAATATAAAAATACAATGGACCGTCACTGGAGTGAACAATGGAAGCGTAACAGAAGCAAAATATTTACTTTCGTTACATGTTGTATTTTTATATTTATTTCTACAATTAAAGAATAAAAATTATTTGTAAACAAGTTAAACATCACAATAAGTTTTTTATAAACCAAAATTAATTTTGATATTACTGAAAATAAAACTAGTAGAAAGTGCCATTGTATATTAGTATGAAATTTTTATTTGTTGGCTGAAAAATATATAGAAGTGCGAATTTGGCATATAAAAAGTGAGCTAAAGGAATCAAAGTAATATATACACCACTCCACATCAGGATATATGTAACAACAGACACGGAACCAACTTTCAATGCACATAATACAAAAAACGAACACTGCACAAATGTTTTCCAATTCCTTCTGAATTCTTCTTCAGTTGTGACAGAGCAGTTACTAATGAAACCTTATTGGAACAAATGTCTATTTGTAAAAGTTTTAAAATAATGTAATTTGAATGACATATCGTGTACAAAAGAGCAAGTTGTCAGAAAAAAATGAATGTCCAAAATTTAAAGAGTTCCTGTGTTGTCCTATAATTTGTAATTTCTTAGATAAAACAGGTTAATCTATGCTAATCTATACTATATATCTTAACTTATTTCAAACATCTTTAATTTCAATTTATAAATAACAACTTACATTAGTTCTGTAATAAGGCTGAAGATCTGGGATAGGAAAAGTAATATTTAAATTTCTGATATCTTTAACAGGAACAACATAACCTCGAGTCTTTTAAAAAACAGATATTTATTTATAAAAATTAAAGATATTAAATATATAATATATATAGGATGCATAAATAAAAGCTTACCTTTAATTGTTCTGGGCCAAATGGATGTTCATCCCATTTTGGAACATCTATTGATTTGTTTTGTGCATCCGCAAAAAGTGATATGACCATATCAGATAAATCATCTAAAGATTCTAAATTTAAACAGAATTTTTTAGTATGCTTAAGAATTTATTCACTTATTATAATTATTATTTTAATTGAAAATATAAATATATTCTAAAAATATCTGACATGTTAAAAATTATTTGTTTAATTGATAGATAAAATAACTGAGATAATTAATGATATAAATTAGTTATGCAAAAGTTATATCTTATAACGGAAGACTGGTAATTCCCAATGCCACTTGTTAATGAAATGTATATCATTTTATAGAGATTCCTTTCTTGATAAACATACTAAGATTTTTTTCTTGCAAAATTCTTTCTTTCCAAAAAAGATTACATTAATCATGACCTTTAAATAAGATAAACAGTAATAAGAAGTAACATCATGCCAAGTTGTCTAGTTTGTAGTTCTATATTTTGATGTGATGAAGGTTGCAGTTTTGAAGCTCTTGTTTTCCTATTTTCTCCAATATATATTTTTCACATTTCTCTACCTAAATGCCTCTATAGATTACATTACAAGGCCTGTACCTTCATGGATACGTGTGTTATGTTAGAAAAAAAATGGCCTTCACCAAACTATTACAATGTTAAAGGCATCAGATTGTCTAAAATCTCTATGTATGCCTCAGTATTAAAATTCCCATAATCAGAACCCAAGGAACTAGTGACAATCATAAAAAATATCCTTTTATCATTGTCTCCTCCATCAAATTTAATGGTTAGCATAATACAGTCAGGTAGGACGTCTTCAGCAGATATTCTCTACATCCAAATTTGTCTATCTGACTGCAACATGGTTAGTGTATTCATAGCTCCATAAAACATTAAACCTATGTAAACTTTTTGTCAGTGATCCAGCAATGAGCTTTACATTAGTTTAAATAATACTTGGCATTAAGCAAACTGATACTTGGTTTGTGCGCTCTGACTGTTGATTAGTTGTGGAAATCTATTATCCACAGCTCCAGATTATTTTGCTGATTGTTGAGGTGTGAGTTTGGAGTGTTTGTGCAGAAGACATGCAGTTTTCTCAAAACAACTCTCTTCAATACTCAGCAGTCCCTTTCTTCAGTGCAGTCTACCAGTTCATGGTTGCATTTGCTACACATTTCTACTTTATAATAATATCACTAACAGTTGGTCAAATCATATCAGTTACAGCATATTCAAAATCTCATGAAAAAATTTGTTGCAACAGTAATATCCAATTACTTGACAATTAATGTTTGAAGTCACTAAGTTCTTTCCTATATACCATTCTACTGATATGAATTTAGTATGAATTTTTAGAGTCATCTTCATACTTATATCTAGAGCAAGTGGTATGATGCCTATGGGCAGTTACGCAAATTTATGTAGGTGTAAGTGTAATCCTTTTGATCACAGTGTAATTAATATAATGAATGAAAATACAGTGGGTGATCAGTTAACGAACATAATCCGTTCCAAGACTTTGTTCACTATCTGAATTGTTCATTAACCGATTATTGATTTACCATAGGTTTCTATGGGAATTTGATTAATTTGTTCTGGAGACCCCAAAAAATATAAAAAATATATACTTTCTTACTACATTTCTTCATATGTAATAATAAAAATACATATATACATGGTCTTGAATTTTTATTAGTCATGTTTTTTCCATTTGTGGGTTTAAAGAATCTGTCCAATGTCAATTGCTTTTCTGTCTTCATCATTTTTCATAAGTAATTAATAGCATTGTAATTGTACAGATCCCTAGGCCTATTAAACTCAACCTGGTTTGGATGACATTTTAAGACCGTTGTTCTGACATCTTCCCACTTCTTCTAAAGATCCTTAATAGCAGATATCAGAATAAATCCACATTTTCAGAAGAAAACGTAAAAGAATTGTTTCTGTCAGAAATATAAAAGGCTGGAATTACAAGGGAGAGTTTCAAAGTTCGGAGGAATACTATCCGATTGGCAGTGCCAGCCCGAGGCAAGTTTTAGGATGGAGCGAGATCCTATTATGGCACCCCCAAAAATATCGAACAGTGAAAAAAAATTTTTTTCCTTTAATTTTCTTTACCACTGAGGCACCCCCTAGAGCTTAGTGCCTGGAGTGGCTGCTCCGTTCGCCCTATGGTAAGGCTGGCTCTGCCGATCAGTATATACTTGGTAGAACGTTGATGTCGACATCTCCCGCGCTCCAAAAAGTTTCGAATTGTTGCCTGAAGACAAAGGAAGACCAATCAGTATTCATTATTTTACATCGCTTCTTCTTGTTTGTTCAGTGAAGTGTTTGTTATCTGAACATGTGTTCATTGTCCGATCATAAAAATCTTTCGTGAAAATGTTCGTTATTCGATTTGTTTGTTAACCAATCACCCACTGTATTAATATAAACTAGAAATTAATAACATAAAAGCTGTTGTTTGTACGTGTCTGTGTGTGTGAATTCCTTATAACTCCTGTAATTTTTGTGCAATCGAGATGAAATTTTGGTTACATTTGTTTTATATTCTGACAAAGTATAGATTACTTGTTTTGTAAAAATATTAGCTATAGAATAAATATTTTATCAATTTTGGATTGGTGATGTTGCAGTGACATCAGTGATCTCATTTAGTTCATGTTGATGATGGAATTTCCTTTAAGTTGCATTTTGAAATATTTTGGCAAATGGCATATTTTGAACTTACTTCATTAAATTTAAACTTTAAAAATGATAGCTGCATAATGTCACTTCTATAACACTAGTAGCCTGGGACGCCCCCTAGTGGGCGTTCTTTACAAATTCCCGTGAGGCACGGTTCCTTTGACTTTTTTGTTTCTATCAATATGCTCTACAGCTCTGTTAAAGTCCCAATCACGTCATCCTGTCCTAGATTTTAACCCCAATCACGTCATCCTGTCCTAGATTTTAACCCCAATCACGTCATACGAATCTAGATTTCTACCTATTAAACATTCTATAAATACTTTAAAATAGTTTAATTTGTTTATTTACCTTCGCTTGTAAACCTCGATTTTAAATGTATCTGCCATTTTTTCAACAAATTTCCCGTGAGTCAATGCACGATATTCAGAGTCACGGGATGTAAACGGGCGGCGCAAGGCGCACAATAATTATTTATACCATTCCGTGGTATAAATAATAAATTCATATCAATAATAAATTCCTATTACAAATAAAAATAATTTATTGTTAATTTAAAATTTTCGCTAGGGCGCCTCTAGTGCCCGTTTTTGGCATACCATTATGCAGACGGACACACGTTCAATGGGTTATATAGATAGATATTTTTAAAAAAATCTTTTCATAGTGACCATGTGATGTTCTATTATTCAATCAGAAGTAATGATCTAACAAGTCTGTTGTTTAGAAAAAGACTAATTCATTCTTCTTGGCACAGACTCCAACTCATGTTCTCTTGTCCTTCAACCTCACCCCCTTGTCACCTGATCCATTACATCTGGTCACTACATCAATCAAAAATAAAAATAATATCATGTGGACCACTCATTCACTTACAACCTGTCTAGAATGTGGAGAATGGAAATATCAACAGCATCAACCATTTCTTATTCTTTGAATCACAATAATGAGCCAATAACTCAACTCTAGTGGTGATTTGCACAGGAAAATTATAATGTTTGCAATAATAATAACTGATAAGTTCTTAACAAACTTTCTCTGTTTGTTCAAGACATCAATCAATTGCTGCAGTATGTATTTGGAACAGATTTTTCTATGAGTGTAAGACTGTGTGAGATCTAGAGTATTTTCCAGTTCAAAATATTGTTGAAAGTCAATAATACACAAATACTTCAATCTCACAAATTATCATCAAGATTACTGACATCACTTAGTCTAGTTCAAAGACTAAGATGTAAATTATCAGAGAATAAGAGGGTTATTAAATATGAGCATGAAATACATAAAATATGTGCATTCGTAAGCTGATGATGGAGTTAGGCATTAAACAAATCTAAACAATAGTTTAGATTAAAACTATATATTTATTAAACAAAATTATAACTAAAAGTAAATAAAAAACAATAACTATGATAAACATAAACGATAAATTAGCAAAATATACAAAGATATCTAATCCTAAACCTCTAATTCTATCCTGATCTCTCTCAGGATGATTTACAAGAAATGATAATATTACCTAATGTTTATATACATCTGTAGAGAAGAGCTGGGTAATCATTGGAAATAACTGGAAGTTGAGAACTGAGAAAAGAATGGCTAACGTCTCGGGAACTCAGCAAAGGCATCAAAATGGGAACATTGGTTAAACATTTGAACACTAGGTAAAAGTGTCAAACAAGAGCATGGACAAGAGTAGACAAAATCGGACAAAAGCAAGTTGAAAGGTGACCTTTTACCTTTAAACTAAATTGACATCCAATAAGATTACTGGAATGTCACACTATGCTTCTATCATGAGGAGGAATTCTGGTGGGTTTTGTAGATAGTTGAGTGAGTTACCAAACTCAAACTATCATTTTAGGAGGAACTATTCTGTTTTTCTCTGTAAGTCAAAAGGAAGTGCTTCCATTTACAAAGATAGATAGAAAATTTATCAAGTTAATATTTTGAAACTTATTTTAACAAATTCATTAAAAATCTCTCTCCCAACTCCAGATTCTCAAAACTGGATAATATGTTGCATTCCTTACTGTTTTTGATGTATAGTAGAAGAACAGTTTCTCTTTGCTTAATCTAGTGATATTCTTTTGTCATTGTATCATCCTAAGTTTCTTGCATAATTGAAATTGGTCACACTGATCTTAATTCATCACAGCTTTATTGTAAATTTTTGAATGTCAAACAAGTTCATGTTTAAACTTTTTGTGTGATAAAGCAATATAACAAACAGACTATGCACAGAGATTAGACACTCATGGCTATTAAATGATAGTGGTTACATGTTTCCTGCATTTTACAGAACACACTGCAGCAAGAGACCTTACTTATCAATCAACATTATATAATGTTATCTATAAAGCTAGTAAGGATAACATCCAAAAACTTTTTAAATCAAAACATTCAAATTATGATTCAAAATAATAAATATACTGAAAAATAAAATAAGGGTAAAATTTTTGTAAAAAATTCAATAATATTATAAAATTGCTTAATAAAAGTTTACCTTTTCCAAGAACTACCAAAGACATTATATTAGTTGAATACCATTTATCGTGGAATTTGAGTAATTCATCTCTAACATTTATTCCTTCTGATTTAGGTTTAATGTCCAATGTTTCTTTATTCCCTATTTGAAAATATACATAATACTTCTATTAGTAATTTTGAAGTAGGAAAAATAATTAATTTTCATGAGAATGTCGTTTAAAACTGCTGTTTTCTTACAGAAAAATAACTCATACTTCCTAGTCTATGGTATAACAGCAATTGAATTTTTTAACAAATAATTTTATTGAAGGGTTTTTAATTGATTACTAAATTTCTTTAGTTAAATACTTTGTTAAGAGAAGTATTTCAGTATAATATGAATATAAAAAATAAGGAAAATTTTAAAATTATATATTGACAGAAAAAATATTACTAAAGTATGTTTTATTAGTAAAAAATATATTTTATTAATTAGAACATATGATTTATTTATTTAGTTTTCCTTTATTTTTTACAAAAGTAGAAACTAAATACAAAAATACAATATAATGTTTTCCTATACTTCACAAAACTGGAGACTTCCAGAACTAATTCAATTAATAAAATTTTTAAGTTAAACTAAACCAAATATTTTTTAAAATGTGTTTATAATACTGTATTTCATATTCATTATTGAAGCATTCTAATTAAATCACTATTTAATCTCAGATTACTTAAAACTAAAATTTTATGAATGTAAGCGTGTGTATTTAATAATCGAAGTTTAAGTTTATTTGAAAGAAAAATAAAGTATTCAATTTAGAAAACACTTAATTATTAAAAATAATATTATAATTTATAAAATTTTATAGACTATTTTGTATCAAATTCAATATATATTATTGTCTAAAATATAATCATTATTGTAATAATAAGAGATACATAAAGCAGAAGCTGTAATTAAAATATGAGTTAAATTTAATCAGTTAAATTATTTTTCATTAATTATTTAATCCATACTAATTTAGGAGCAAAGAAAGTTATTTTTAAATTGAGCTGAACATAAAACATATAAAGAGGATTTTATTATTATTATATTGCAAATGTCATGCTCAGCTGATAATGGTGCCAAGTGCTATGCTAAAGTCAAAAGCATAGCTGTAAGGAACCAAGTCCGAACGTTATTTTTATTTACTTTTATTTTGCTTATTATTCTATTTTTGTTTGGGGCTTATGTTTTGTTAGGACGAAGGTTTCCTCACCATTCACCTTAGTAACTTAAAAATAGAAGAAAAACCAACTCACCGACGAAAGAAAAGTGCCGTAGAAAAAACTCGCGCACATTTGCGCTTCCCGAGCGGAAAAAAGTAAGTCCGCACCGAGAAAAGGGGGGAAGACCCCACAAGCACGAATTAGGGACTCGCTAAACCTTAAAGAATAAAAAACGTCCCAAAAATTGTGAAAAAGAATAATGTAAAAGGTTAGAGAGTATTGTCGGAAAATAGGCTGCCAGACAAACAAAAAAAGTTTATTGTTAGCTTTAAGTATGTAAATGAGGAGAGTGATCTCATTCAGAATTGTGACGTCACCTCACACTATAAATCCTGAGTCTCAAGTGAAGATGAACGAGGTGAACTCCTGATAGCAACGAGCTTTGGTGAGCTTCGTAGCAGTGAACGAGAGAGGTGTCCGATAGGATCAAATAGTTCCAAGGCAATTTTGAAGTTATTCGATTTATGGATCGACGATTATAGAAAGTCTTGAGAGTTTGAGGAAATAGGTTCCTAGTATATTGAGGTGACGATTAGGATCTTTAATTTATAAGAATTATTGTTTATAAGTTAATTCTTTGATTTTGTCGAATTCCAAAGGGGAATAGAATTAAGTTAGAAATAGATTGATTTGAGTTTGTCGGATTGATTCTTGTTGAATTTCATTGAATAAATTATTGTTTGATTTTTACTAAATACTGTATATAGTTTATTACTAGAAGTTTAATTAAATATTTGATTTTTGTTATTGACAAACTTTGTCATTATTTAATTCAGTGCACACTTAAAGTCCAGGCCTGGCACACTAACGCGAATCCGTGTAAAGTACCCGTTAGGGAACGGCTATTTCCGGCACGCAGTAGTGTCGATAATCGTTGGAAAAGTCGGAAAAATAATATAGTACTTTACATAGCTACCCAAACAAATTTTATATTAAGCTGTGTTATTGGTATGTGTGTCAACATCTAGAAACTTCCTAACAATATGATGTGTGTTCAATATTGAGCTTTCTGTAGTGCCATGTATATGTTTTTATTAAGGTTTAATATTTCTAGACATTTATGTAGTGTATATGGTATGACACCAGTAGAAGACAGGAAACAGGTACAGTACAATAAATACTTATCCATCCTTCACATCTGTTCTATTTCTTGAGCAATGGAGTGAACTTGATTTTTTTCAGTGTGAGTATTTTTTGTTATGAGTGTTTGGAATGGAAATATCTATTGTATAAATAATCTTACTGCATTTGTCAATGAGAGTGATGTCAGGTCTATTGTGATGAATTGTTTTATTTGTGATTACAACTCTGTCATAGTATATTTTGTGTGTGTCATTTTCTAATATTGCCTGTGGAGTATATTTGTATTACAGTATCTAGATGTTTAATAATCTGTGATTCTGTGCAAGCTCTTATTATTATTATCACCATCCTCTTATGTCTTACAGCTTACTGTAAAAGCATTGTTAAAAAATTTTATTTATATGGAAAACAGGCTATTTTTTTCATTATTTATACTTTTGCTTATATATTATTTATTTCGTTATAAAATGAGAGAAAGATATAATGAATCAAAATCATGTCATAAGTGTCATAATACTTACGAGGGAATAGCATGATGTTGGGGGTCACCAAATTTGATCAAACCCAGTGAGGTTATAGTACATCCCCAATAACTGACGTGTCAAGCAGTAGGGCAATAGTCAAAAATTGCTTAAAATCACTTAAAAATCATTAGAATTCCTATCATTTATAGTAACTGGTGGATCGGTGGGCCAAGCTGAATTCATAATTGTGAGGTTCAGTTTAAAATCTTAATGGTATCAATGTTTTCCCCCTAAAACTATACTTTTTCACTTTATTCTTGACATTTTTAAATTTATTATGTTTATTTAGAAATTATTTTTGAATATTCATGTACATATGGGATTCATACTAATACTTATTTATAATTTTAGTGGGGAAGAGGATTAGATATAAACAAAAATTATCATTATTCCAATTTTGTTAATAAAAAAAAAAAAACATTTTTATTGACATTATTCAATCTGTTTGCTTTCTGGAAGCACAATTTTGTGAAATGACAACTATCATAGAAGTATGTGAAACAAACATTTCTACAGTGTGCGCATTGAATAAATACAGAATTTTACAATAAGATTTTTGTCAGTGGAAAAACAAAACTTGATTAATGTTTAAAAACACTTTTCCATCATCAACTAATTTGGAGGAGAATCATGCATACTGTATCACATTTAAAAATATCAGAGTGCTTAATGTTTTCTTCTACTCCCTTTGTAACTTCTAAAATTGATGAAGAATCCTCAGCTGCAATTAGGTCTTGATTTTGAAGGGTGCTTTCATGATATGTAAATTTCATAATATTTTAGTGCAGTGATTCGTCTATAAAACACATTTTTATGCTATAGATGTTAGCAAAAGATATCAAAGTCACCTTTTTGTTCTTTAGCAAACAAAAACACAATTATAAGCATATTTAGGTTAATTAAACAATGACTTTGTTGCCAGAGTAAGTACACACTATACACAACTATACAGAAAATGTTTTGTTTTTAAATAAATATTGTTAGGTAGCATTTGTTAATTGCTTTGACATTGACTTGTTACTTGAAACAGATGGATTTTATTATTTTATTACACCCATTATTATTACTAATAAATAATATGCATTTGTAGTTTTCTAAAAATAAATCAGTTTTCCTCTCTGACAGTATAATAAATTTAAAAGTACCAAGAATAAAGTGAATATTATAGTTTTATGAAAGATAAATAAAATAAAACAACACTGATAACTTCAACATTTGAAATACAAACCTCATGATTATGAAACAAGCCTGGCCCCACTGAGCCATTGGCCACTCTACAAATGACAAGAATTCTAACAGGTTTCAGTGATTTGTAATTTTCAGCTTCAATTTTCTTGTTTAATTTTGAGTATTGTGGCTTATTGGGGATGCCCTATAACATCACCAAGTTTGATCAAAATTGGCAATCACAATGACATCATGTCCCCTTGTCCCCTAGCTACATGTCACTCCTATCATTAAAAATAGATCACTTTCAAAATTTATTTAAAAGTTATATTTGAAGGCAGAATATTATATGGCATTTTAAATGGAAAAGTCCACCCTAATTATCATCATTGTATATTTGTATATTCAATATGCCAAAAAAAAGTATTAGCAGATGAGACAAGAAAGATTATTATTGCAAAGCATAACAATGTCATGTCTAAAAAAACAATTTGCATGGAATAAGCAAATTGTTCTTAAGCAAATTCTTAAGCAAAACAATAATGTAATGAGTGGTAATTTAATGCAATCATATTGGTCATTTTTCATCAGCCAAGGCTCTACGATAAAAACAAAAATCATCATACACTGATACAGATGCTTAAAAAGAACAACAATAACAACAAGTAGGCATACTACATGTACTAAAAGTAATAAACATATGAAATTAAAGCTATGGGATATGCTGTCTCTAGATGTAAAAAGCATAACACAAAGATGAATGGCAGAAATGAACTTTAAGTTTCATGCAGCATGAGAAAACCTTTGTTAACAACTACAAAGAAGAATGTGCAAAAGAAAGAATGACAACCTGTGGTCTAACTTCATTGATGATATCATAGAAAACATGCCAAATTAAACCAGTTAGCATGCTGCTTTAAGAAAAATAAAGGTTGTAAACCAATAACATAGAGATTGAAAATTATCAAAAAAAAATTTATAAATAAATTTAATTTTAAGTATTCTGAAAGTAATATCTGATTTACCTGTCCCAAATTTATTATAGTCATGATTTGGATTAGCTGTTGATTTCTCAAGCTGATTTAATCTCCATAAATCATTTTGAAGATTTTTCTCATGTTCAGCATTGATGGCATTAATCTCCCTGTCAGTAGCACTTTCCGTAAAGAGAGGACAAAGAAAAAACTGTGCAAACCTAGTAAAAAATTATACTTATTAAAATGTTTATAAATAACAGCTAATTAAAAAATATATTGTAATTTCTAACAAGATATAATATGATATAAATCTGACTTCATTTTATATTTAGTGAAGTCCATATTCAGCAATATTTAACAACTTTTTCCATTATAGCAAAGTCATTAGTTTTGTGAGGCTCTGGACAGGTCCAAACCCTCACTAAAATTCGCGGAAAATAATTGTTTTAGAGAAAAAATATTTAGTAGTTAGAAATAGATTTTTATTTTATGAAAACGTGACGCTAACTTCTAGACAATAGAAGAATGTAAGTCCGTCGACCATTTCCGGTTGGAGATCGAATTAAACTTCGATTCTGACCTCTCCCGCGACCCCGAAACGTTTCGAATTGTCATCAGGTGGTGACGGGAGACCAATCGGAAAGGGGAATCTAAGAGAAAACAGATAAAACCCTGGAAATTCGAGGACACGACGGCTTCTTCTCCCGAAAGTTCCAAGTGACGGATCTGTTGTTGTGTGTGTGTCTCGCACCCATCTTCGTCTCCATCTCCCGACCTCGGATCGACATCGTTCCATCAACGGAAGTCGACTGCATCGTCCCGGAGTCATCAAGACGTGATGGAATTGTTCATTCTCGAACAAGGGACACTCCTTCAAAATGGGACTATCGTGGAACCACAGGAGAGGAAGACCCAGATGCCGCAGCCACCACAGAACTTCCAAGATCGCAGTAATCTTGTAAGCTTCTTTCGTGTTTAATAAACGGTTGTGTTGTTTGTAAACGAAGCATCTATCTCTGGCTCAACTGCTTCCACATGTCATTGATTGTTACCGCTCGGCAATCCAAACGGCAAGGGAGACGATGACGACATATATCGCATATTATCGTTCGTCGAAAGTTTAAATTTCTCCCCCCTCGGCCCCCACAGTTTTCAATACTTTTTTTAGCATTTTATTTTGATGGCATTTTAGCAATGACTTTTTTTAGCATTTTATGGTGATACCTCATACTTCAAACGAGTAACTTCAAATGCTGAATCTAAGAGAAATTTGACTTGAGTTTGAACAGTGTGCACATAAAAAAAATAATGCACTTTCTGCATAAATGACATCTATTGTGTGCCCAAGTTGTCTCCAGCTCTTGCTACAAAAACTCTTATATTATACATGTTTATTTTTAGAACTTTTACACTTTATTTTTGGTATATTTGGTTATATATATAATCCTACTTATTAACTATAGCATCCAAGAAGTGTGTGGAAGACTAAGAGGGAAGATTGCAATTTTGACACTTGGAGTAAAAAAGGAACTTATTGTGAAACATGAAAGCAGTACATATATGACAGAGATGATAGTAATTGTGAGAGCCGGACTTGATGAAATTTTTAGAGAAAATTTTTCGTCTTTCAAAAGTTAAGTTAGTTCAAATTCCAGTGAAAACAATATTTTCAATTTAATTACTGGAGGATGATTGCGTCTCTCTCCCTGGAGTCACTTCCTTTTCCAGGGAACTCATCGAATGTGTCATCAGGAACTAATTACAAATATTCACCCTTGGTCGAAAATAGTAACATGGCTAAAAAGAGGGCATCAAAATTAAAGGGCGAGGGCCCCCAATATAAAAGGATTGAATTGAGGATAAGAAGGTTGTCGGGAGTCTGAGATGAGAGTTCATAGACCCCTCTTCCCTTCCCAAGAAAGTGTAATGTAACTGTGCTCAATCACCGATCCCTTCGACTATTGCTCCTGTCCAATGTTGCCATTCTCCAAACATTCAAACTTCTCGATCCAAGAACTTGACAAGCCGACATAATGAACATGAATTTCCTGAACAAGCTGTGATCCCGTTCAACCAACAATCTATAATCTCGACCCATAAAACAAGTTATGAAAGTATTTAGCATCACATGTAATAATGTAAGCTCTCTCTCAGCTAGGAACGCGCTAACTCCATATCTACTAGTATAAAGTCCAATAAATTATTTTACGATGTATCCATATTATCCAGTATGTTACACTATTAGAGCTCATCTATATGATGCTATATAAAAGTTAAATGGAATGTTATTGTAAACATATGAGTAAATAGTTTACATAAATAAACGGGCATAATTCTTTATAATTAAGTTGTAGTGTACACTTCTTTCTGCTGCATTGTCTGTCTCTCCGGCCGTCTCCATCCCAGACCCCTAGTGTCTACATACACGACTGCTAGAGCAAAACCAAAACTGCAGCCAACAAGGTTTCTGTGTCTGCCTTAAAGGATACAGTGGTGTCAGTCCTGACATAGGCATCACCAGACCAGTCACACAATATTTAAGATGCACACCATCAATTTCAGTATCAATCTTGAAAACAAGGAAGCAATAAAAACAGCAAATGTGGTTAAAGGTATGGCAAGGTTGACCTCAAAGAAGATTGCATGTTATTGAGATGATGGAAAAACTCCTCCTCATGTGGATGAGAAGCAACTGGCTGGTAATATCTCTGACTGTGAGAAAGCCAAACAAGCTGTATAGTGACCTTAAGAAACAGGATATCAGTTCTCACTAAGGTACTAAGGTACAGTAAATGCAAATTTCATTTTATTATACAGTATTTATGTATTTTATTCATTGTTTTCATGTTTTATTATTTAGGGCATTTAATTGTGTTATTTTTACTTTAATTTATGTGTATTTACTATTTAATTTTATCAAAATAGGATCCGAGAACAGATTAATTCACAATCCACTTTTTATAATGGGGAAAAATTTATTTGGACTTTGAACAATTCAGAATTTGAATGGTCTCCCTAATTAAATTTGAAGTACAAGGCACCACTGTATATAGTTTAATATATTTTCAGTTTATAGTTCAACAGTTATTTCAATAATATTATAAATGTAATTTACTTTTAAATACCATTGTAAATAACATCAACAAAACCTTTAAAAATATACCAGCAAATATAATTTAACATAAATATGATATGAAAAAGTTTTTTGATCCTAATAGGATCTGCTTATATTAAATTATATTTGCTGGTATTTTTTTGAAGGTTTTGTTGGTGTTATTTACTAATATGTAACCAGTTGTGGGAAGATTTAGAAATATCATTATTTTATATATTATGTTATATTTATTATATAAGAAATATTATCTCTTATGATAAAATACAAACAGAAATAAATTTTCAAATATTAATTATAAATACAAATTTTTCAATAAAAGTAGACATTTGCACTTGAATCAATGAAAGTCACCAACTAACAGACTATGAATTAAGTCTGCACTGCCAAAAATTTTTCATGAACTGTGGAAAACTGGAATCTAGACAAATACTGAAATCTATGATGTAATAATCAATCAAGAATAAAAAGAACTCTTGGAATCTCTATTCTTCTCAATTCTTAAATCTCTACTTTCTCATAAAAATTATTCTGTCATGCTTGATGGGAGAATTTCTAGTATGTATGTGTATATATATATATATGTGTGCACATTATACAGCAGAGTCCTGCAAACTCAACTTAATATGGACTTAATGTGTGACGAGTTACTGAAAATGACAAGTTTTATGGATAATGTAAATGCTAGTCTAAGTAGCAAATTTTTGTAAAGAAATTATATGTACAAATTCATGTGTGTATTAACTAAATAACAATAATGACTAGTTCTCTTTCTAGTTAAAATTTAATTACAAAAATATTGGCTATCTAGTGATTAAGTTTTAAGTTAGTGACATTTGTATTGTGGCATTTTGCAAAAGCATTTTGGAAAAAGGCTATATGCTTTGTTAACATGTGGAATTGATTCTATTATAAAGTGTTGCCAGTGAAGAATGATACTTTATTTGATCCTAGTGTTAAGTTACAGAGGTAAAAATTAAATTACAAGTATTTTTTTAAAATGATGCAACAAGTTTTATGGAACGTTAAGTTATCAAGAGTAGAGTTTCTGGGACTCTACTGTAATAAAAAAAAACTTTAAACTTAAAAAAGTGAAAGCTTTGATCATATTAATATCAAAAATACCTATCTAATGCTCCTTGCAAATATTCTGGTGAAACATCAAAGTAAAAGTTAGTGTGATCAGATGAAGTGAATGCATTACTGCATCCTCCATGTTGATTAATAAACTGCAAAATAAAAGAAAAAAATTTTTTATTTTAACACTGATAATTCACAAAAAAAAAAAAAAATTAATTTTATGATCTATCACATATTTATTTTTAAATAAAATCTTTTTCATATCTTTTTCATTTAAGTACGAAAATACAACAATAATCCAAAAACATATTATATTTATAAATTTACAATGAAATAATTTTATTTAAACAAACATTAGAAAAATGCATAGAAAGTCTAAAATATCTTCACTCTCGCCATATACAATTACCAGGAACGACAATCTTCTGCTGCAGAGATGACCTTTCTTTAGAGGCTACACCTTGCAATTTCAAGTCCCATTTTAACATAAAAAGTATGAGAATTTCAAGGTCAGTGCCCTGAAGTCATTCAATTGACTAATGACAGTGACTCATCATATACTCCCAAGTTTTAAGTGTGCCTGTTTTAATGGATTAAATTTTGAAATATGTCCTCTTATCATTCTCCGAAATTTTTCTGCTGCTTTCAGTGTCTCTTTTAAGACGCATTTCTTTTTGCTAACAAATTGAATAATTTTGCACTGTTGGATTTTGTGTCTGATTTTAAAATGCTGTTACTCATCTTTCCAAAGCTCAGAAGGAAAATGAATCTACGGAAATTGATTGCTACAGTCAAAGCCCATTGTTGTAAATGCCTTGTCATGACTTAATTGTTATTTTAGCAAGTTTCCACAAATCTATCATGCATCCACATGTCTATAATAGGTAGCTTGTCCTTCTTTGTTCCATCTTTCTTTATATCTTCCTTCCAATGCTTCAAATGATCTTTTCTTTTCAAAAAAGGAGCATCCTTTTTTGCAATGTCTGAAATGTCCATGTTGAATTTGCTTTGGCAAACTCAACATTGACATTTCAGACAATCTTTATTTTGTAATTGAGTGGAATGTAACTTAGGTGTTCTTGGAGCGAGGATCATGGAATTCTGCATGTGCGTTTGCACATGCAGAATCCATGATCCTCGCTCCAAGAACACTTAAGTTATTTGTGTTTGCAAAGACGCATAGAGTAGAATGTATTCTGCATCCTTGCATTTCATTTTCTTTAGTTCATCCTATTCATCATTCAACCTAGATACTGATGCCATATTCTCTAGCAATGATATTATGAAAAGAATATCTTCATCAATATGAATAAGTTCTATGAATTTATTTTCTCCCACAATATCAATTATTTGCTCAGCAACGGTTTCTTCTACTGCCTTTGTAACTTCCGAAATTGATGAAGAACCCTTGAACGTAATTAGATCTTGATTTTGAAGTATGATTTCACAATACATAAATGCATCCTTTAAACATAATTTTGCAATATTGTCATGCATTGATTCTTCTACAAAACACATTTCTATGCAATTGATGTTAGCACAAGATGTTGAAACCATCCATTTGTTGTTTAGCAAATGAAGACAATTATAGACATATTTAGGTTAAGTAATGACTTTGTTGCCAGATTAAAGTATCGGTACATACACAAATGTACAAAAAATTTGTTTTTTAAATAAATATTGTTGGATAGTATTTCTTAACTGTTTTTGATGTTAACTTGTTACTTGAAATGGGTCAATTTTATTGTCTTATTACTTTGTTTACAGTATATTTGTAGTTTTCTAAAAATAAATCAGTTTTTCTCTCTGATAATATATATAAAAGTACAAAGAATAAAGTGAAAATTATGGTTTTGGAGAAAAAAATAACCCATTGTTATGATGAGATTCAAAACACCAACCTCCTGATTATGAAACTGGCATGACCCAATTCGAATTAAATATATTAGATTCGAAAATTGAAAAGTGAAATAGAAGCAGCAGGATTTTTAGCTCTGTTTTGGATTGAATTCTAATATTAAATATTAAGTGAAGTGACAAGTGTTATACAGTTTTTGAAATCGGAAGTCAAGAGGGTTCTATCGGTGTGTAGGTTTTTGAAATTGGATACTTCGTTGTAAAGTTATGACGTCTGGAAAGATATTCGAACTTAGCGATAAATTACTAATTACGTCAGCAGACAGACTGACGGGCTTCATGGTGTTTGAATCATATCTGTGCTGTAAGTACCTTTGCCAATTTCTGGAATTGTAGGAGTAACAGTTTTGAAGATTTCAACAACTTTCGGTAAAAATTCGACAAGTCATTGTGGGCTTCCTGCTAGTTATTTCCGAAAAATATTCGGTTGTTTATGAGAGGACATTAACTATTAACTTTGTGCTAAATTTCATCTCGATACACCTTATAGTTTTTGAATTATGGCCGTTCCATCAAATTTTCCTAACCTTCAAAATGTGTTCTATGGCGTAGCCATAGAAACGGTCATTGACTTTACTCTTATGAAGTAGCTGGAAACTTGGGTGAGTAGCGATTTTATCACTTATAATCGAAATAACAAGGAAGAAGGCAATGGCAAACCACTTCCTCAACTCTTGCCAAGAAAACTACATGGACAAGGAATTTCATAATAGAGATATAGTGTTGGAGGATGAGACCTTCGGGTTCGAAAGCACTCTAACTTCTACTGGGGACGAACAAGGAACTTCACTGACTAAGATTGAACATAATGGCATGATTAAGTCAAAGCTGAAAGGGAGTTTAATCATTGATGCAGTCAAACACGAAAAGAAAGTTCCAAGTTTCTTCAAACAACACATATTTGCAACATGGAATGTGAGAAGCATGTATGCTGGAAAACTAGACATAATTAAAAGTGAAATGACAAGAATAGGGATAGAAGTGTTAGGAGTCAGTGAGCTTAAATGGNTGAAAGCTGGACTCTAAGGAAAAAGGAAAGAAAAATGATAGATGCATTCGAATTATGGGTATGGAGAAGATTACTTAGAGTTCCATGGACAGAAAAGAAAACAAATATCTCAATTTTAGAAAAAATTAAGCCAAGCTTCTCCTTAGAGTCAAGAATCTTAAAACAAAAATTGACCTACTTTGGACATGTGATGCGTAAAGAAGTTTCCCTAGAGAAGACTATTATGCTGGGAAAAGTGGAAGGTAGAAGGAAGAGGGGAAGGCAACGGATAAGATGGATAGAAGAAATAGAAAAAGTCACAGAAATGAAGCTGGATGAGCTACGAGAGACAACAAGGAAAAGATCAAGATGGAGAAGACTTGTCCATGAAGTCACCAGGAGTTGACGACGACTCGATGGAACTTAACAACAAAAAAATGACCCAAGGAGCCATCAGCCATTCTTATGAATGATAGAAATGCTGAAAGTTTTAAGTGATTATGCAATTTTTAACCTCAATTTTCTTATTTAATTTTGATTAGTGCACCTTACTGCTTGGCAGATGTCATTCATTGGGGATAAACTATATTCTCACCGAGTCTGATCAAAATAAGAGGCATGACAATCCAACATCATGCCTCTTCTCATAAGATGACTCTTAGAACTTAAAAATTTATAAAAGTAATATAAATGAAATAAAATAGTAATAATTCTATTTTTTTAGTGTTCTTTCTTATGTAAGAAATAATCATTTAAAATATATAAAACATCAAATATTTATAGCTATAAACAATATTGGTTAAATAATAAATTAAAATTAATTATAGTTGAAGTTTGCTAGTTGAAAGATGCTATCCACTTATATCAGTGTTTCTCAACGGGGGCGATAAANAATATTTAGTTATACGTCTCTGTAATCCAACAAATGATAGACGGACTCACAGCAAATTTTCAGTTAGGAACTACAATTTTATTCTCAAAATTGACAAATGCATTTCAGACTGGCGCAGTACATCCCAACCCATCCTCAGTGCTAATTTTTAAAAATAAGAAAAACAAAAATAGTCAGTTCATGACAACAAATATACCAACAGAAAAAATTTTTTCTTACACACTTACTCTTAAAGATAAAAAAATTGTGCATGGGACACCAACATGACTATAACACCAACACATGTTGTACATCAATACATCGTAGAGGTATCGTACAAGCTCAAAGAGCACTTGAAGTGTTTAATACTACCAGATAACCTCATCACTGAAAAGAAAACTTTTTTATGACTATTTTGTAGAATTAATAATGGTGTATAAAAACAACATACATTACTTACTGTTAAAATATGTAGCGATATAAACAGTTTACGAACAATAATTTACAAAAAACCAAGTAAACCTTAGCACCTTTCTTTTAATCAATCGCAATAATTTAATTCTATGTAACGCCCTCTATCAGTCTGTACCAACGAGAATCAATTAACATACCATCTGAACTATTTATTAAATTATTTTTTTGGTTCTTCTTTATTTCTAAATGTTCTTTAAATTTTCATTTATACATGTCTTTTTCATAATGTAAAATTTTAATATAACTGTGATTGATTTTACAATTACTATCTTTTGTATGCTCATACCATGGGGAATTATTATATTTTAAACGAATAGCTGCTTCATGTTCTTTTATCCTAACATCCAATACACAGCCAGTTTCTCCTATATACATATTTGGGTTCTGACAATTACATTCTAATTTATATTCCACACTTGCTTTTTTTTTAGAGAATCTATATTATTATGATTACTTCTGTTAACATATTTAGAAATATCATTTGAAATCTTATTGGTCAAAGATGGGGCCAAACATATCTTATCTTTCTTTAGAATTTTACTGCAATTTTCAAAGATGTTTTTTATGTATGGAAATATTTTATACGTTTTTTCATATTTATATTTTGTATTATATCTTTATTGAATTTGTAAACCAACCTTTTAAATATCCAGCACAAAAATTATTCTAAACTAATGTTTTCAAACTAGTTTATAGNTATAAAAGTAATATAAATGAAATAAAATAGTAATAATTCTATTTTTTTAGTGTTCTTTCTTATGTAAGAAATAATCATTTAAAATATATAAAACATCAAATATTTATAGCTATAAACAATATTGGTTAAATAATAAATTAAAATTAATTATAGTTGAAGTTTGCTAGTTGAAAGATGCTATCCACTTATATCAGTGTTTCTCAACGGGGGCGATACTGCCCCCACGTGGGCGTTTTTCCATGTTTAGGGGGCGATTAGTACAATTTATATTTTGGGGTTGCAAAAAACATTTTTCTGGGCGATGTAGTAAAATATTATATTAAGAATAATTAGATATTTTATTTGTTATATCGTACAATAATTAAACAAATAACATTATACTGGTCACTAGTCTATTCAATGCAGTACAAATTTGGTGTTAGCCTTGGCCCTGGCATCGGAATTTTGAAGTGAAGTGGGCGATACTACGTAACGGTTTTATTGAAGGGGGTGACGATTCATTAGAGGTTGAGAAACACTGACTTAGATGGATAATAAAATACATTCTTTATAAAGCTGCTTGATTTAAGAAGAAACTTACAAATAGTAAATCTTCAGGACATTTGGGTTTCATAATAAGATATCGCAATTAAAATAATAATAAAATTAGGAAGTAATAAAAGATATAAATGTATCGAAAAACATATTGAGAAAACAACTAAACAATTTTTAGTAAACTATAACATAAAAAACTAATTTTTGTTATAAAATAAAACTTTCAAAACTGGTAAATATTTTATAATTATAAATTGAAAACTGAACTTACTTTATTATATTCATTTTCAACTGGATACTGTAAAAATTAAAATTTAATCTTTAAAAATGAGAGTTTACATGGTAAATCAAGTTTTTAACACTTTTGTGACAGTTTAACCTAATTGATATCATATGTTACATCAATCAATCAAGGTGACTTATATTTCATAAATTTTACATTCATGCAATATACAAGAGATTAAAATTTTTATCTAAATATAAGGTTTTTTATTTTGCATTTTATTTTGTAACTAGTGCCTAAAATTTAAAAATTAATTATTCATTCNGAAATGAAGCTGGATGAGCTACGAGAGACAACAAGGAAAAGATCAAGATGGAGAAGACTTGTCCATGAAGTCACCAGGAGTTGACGACGACTCGATGGAACTTAACAACAAAAAAATGACCCAAGGAGCCATCAGCCATTCTTATGAATGATAGAAATGCTGAAAGTTTTAAGTGATTATGCAATTTTTAACCTCAATTTTCTTATTTAATTTTGATTAGTGCACCTTACTGCTTGGCAGATGTCATTCATTGGGGATAAACTATATTCTCACCGAGTCTGATCAAAATAAGAGGCATGACAATCCAACATCATGCCTCTTCTCATAAGATGACTCTTAGAACTTAAAAATTTATAAAAGTAATATAAATGAAATAAAATAGTAATAATTCTATTTTTTTAGTGTTCTTTCTTATGTAAGAAATAATCATTTAAAATATATAAAACATCAAATATTTATAGCTATAAACAATATTGGTTAAATAATAAATTAAAATTAATTATAGTTGAAGTTTGCTAGTTGAAAGATGCTATCCACTTATATCAGTGTTTCTCAACGGGGGCGATACTGCCCCCACGTGGGCGTTTTTCCATGTTTAGGGGGCGATTAGTACAATTTATATTTTGGGGTTGCAAAAAACATTTTTCTGGGCGATGTAGTAAAATATTATATTAAGAATAATTAGATATTTTATTTGTTATATCGTACAATAATTAAACAAATAACATTATACTGGTCACTAGTCTATTCAATGCAGTACAAATTTGGTGTTAGCCTTGGCCCTGGCATCGGAATTTTGAAGTGAAGTGGGCGATACTACGTAACGGTTTTATTGAAGGGGGTGACGATTCATTAGAGGTTGAGAAACACTGACTTAGATGGATAATAAAATACATTCTTTATAAAGCTGCTTGATTTAAGAAGAAACTTACAAATAGTAAATCTTCAGGACATTTGGGTTTCATAATAAGATATCGCAATTAAAATAATAATAAAATTAGGAAGTAATAAAAGATATAAATGTATCGAAAAACATATTGAGAAAACAACTAAACAATTTTTAGTAAACTATAACATAAAAAACTAATTTTTGTTATAAAATAAAACTTTCAAAACTGGTAAATATTTTATAATTATAAATTGAAAACTGAACTTACTTTATTATATTCATTTTCAACTGGATACTGTAAAAATTAAAATTTAATCTTTAAAAATGAGAGTTTACATGGTAAATCAAGTTTTTAACACTTTTGTGACAGTTTAACCTAATTGATATCATATGTTACATCAATCAATCAAGGTGACTTATATTTCATAAATTTTACATTCATGCAATATACAAGAGATTAAAATTTTTATCTAAATATAAGGTTTTTTATTTTGCATTTTATTTTGTAACTAGTGCCTAAAATTTAAAAATTAATTATTCATTCTGAGGATAACTAAAAGCACTAATAGGATACAAATTTATAATAAACAATATGTAATCTTTAATGATTGTTTCATAATTTATATCTGACAGAAAAGTGTTAAAAAATTATTTTTAAAATTGTTAGAGATTTTATTGTTTTTCATATTATTAAATTCTATTAATATAATAATCATTATAAAATTATATTCTTAATTATTTTATTTGTAGAGATTAAAACATTTAAAAAATTTTAATTTATTATATGTTTATTTTAAATGATTCCTACCTTTTTTGTGCCTAAAAATAACATATGTTCACACAAATGAGCCAAACCAGGCAGATATGTGGGATCATACATATGACCTGAAATTATATCATTGTTATAATAATTATGATATTAAAAATGATATGAAAAAAAAAAGTGTATTTACCAACATGAACATCCAACGCAGCAGCCGATTTATCTGTTGTAGAATCACTTACCAATAAAACTTTAAGACCATTTGTTAATTCTAAACCTCGATATAATCTTTTATCTTCATTAGATTTGGTGATACTTTCAACAACTGATTTTACTTGCAGTTTATTCTCAGCCATCATGCATTTAAATGAATAATATCTACGAAAAATTACCGGGTAATTTATTAAAATATTTTTTATCATTATTATTTTAAAATAAATTATTTATTATTTTAATTATACTGTAAGTTTCAAAACACCTTTCTTTTTTCTTTAGTAAATTCTTTAATTAAATCAAATAAACTAACATTTTCAGCTATCTTAAATGGCCTTCTTCAGGTTAAGCATAATTGGAATATCAGTTAGAACATAAATTTGAAACATTGAGATTCACTCGCGTTATTATGACATCATGGTTTTACAAAAAATTTGAAATAAAATAAACAAATAAATACAAATAAACAAAATTACAATTATATGTTAAATTTAACAAAGCAGTGCAAAGTAAAAATAAATATCAAATAAACATCCAATGGAATTACAAGTACAGTCGACCCCCCTATAACACGGGTTCCTATAGTTTGGATTCCTATATGATGGCGAAAAAATTGCAATGGTATCCATACAAACATGGTAAAAAAACTCCTATATTTCAGTAAAACATCATCGGGCAGCCGAACTACTTTCCGCCATCCAGCGCCATGCTACAGAGAGTTTATGCGAGTAAGTTGAGTTTACTATCGTCTGTACACAGTGGTGATATTCGAAATATTTAACAAAGGGTTCGCTAACAGAAAATTTTTCCTTATACACCTTAAACCCCAAGCCCGAGATATCTCAGGCAAGTTACACAAAACTCAGGCGTTTGGACCCACTAAAAAGTTTTGGTTTTTTGGATTTTTGGAATGTTTTTTAAGTCTCCAAATTTTTTCAAAAATTTTTTCCCGCGCGAAAAAATTTATTGCGATTTTAATTTACCTTTAATGACGCACGATTTACACTTAATTGCTTTTCAATTGTTTTTTAAATGGAGTTGATATCAAATTTCATTCATCGTTCTAAAGTTGTAGTGCACAAATTTTCCTTCGGTAAGTTATTTAAAGCTAGTTTCTGATGTCAAAAACGACCTCCGATAGTTTTTAAATTTTTTTAATTAATAGATTTTATTATATATAAGTTTAATTAAGTCGGGGGGTCGGAAATCGCAATAAAAATTTTAATTTTTTAAAAATATACGGCCAGCTAGTATTCACCCTACTATAAACCCATCGCCTCCCGAGACTTCTATGAGAACGTCCCGGGAAATCCAACTCCAGCTGTGATCAAGGTCATCCAGCTGTTTAAACAATGACTCATCAGCGTCAGATTTCACAGAAAGACAAGACAAAGGAAAATAAAATCTGAAGCTTTTTCTTCAGAATTAACGCATTTCTTTCGTTTTTTCAGTTTTATGTATTTTTTATGTTTAATTACATTAATATCAAAAATTGCTAGAGTCCCAAGGAGTTAACTGCTTTCCCTATGACTTTTTCTCAAGAAAAAACTTTTCGAAATCATTTATTTTATCATTAGGTATTATTATTATAATAGACAGATGTCATTGTTTCTCGAAATACAATATCTTTTTTATTTCGCTGTCGATATCCCGACACGTGTTCCGCAGCCATCTTGTATTTTCTTGCGTGCGTGGGATTGTGGGATCCCTCGTATGACTGGACTTAGTTTCAAGAACTCTCTTGAGTCGATTGCGATTAAGGCTGCGCACACATTAGGCGTTTTTAAACGCCTAGTGTGTACGCGCGTTTTAAAGAACCAAGAGTTCTACATAGGCGTACATACTCAAATGTGCGCTTTTGGCCAAGCACGCGTTAAACGCGCGTTTATAGATTTTTCTTAAAACGTGCGTTTTTCGGGCGCTTTAGTAGAACTCTTGGTTCTTTAAAACGCGCGTTTAAAAATGCCTAGTGTGTACGCAGCCTAAATCTCGTTTCAGTCGAGATTGAAACGGTCGATGGAGGTTATATGCGAACGGCGTACAAGGAGAACATAGCGAACGGGGTATAAGGCTCTAGTTTAGTAGTGTTACAGAGTATAATACGTATATTTTAATATATTTTAAAAAGAAACAAAACCGCTGAGAAATGTTACGTGTGTTTAACAACGGGTTCGGAAAACTTTGAAAATGTTAACAACGGGTTCGGCCGAACCTGTGCGAACCCGCTGAATATCACCACTGTCTGTACAGTATGTAAATTAGGTACCATAAGTCTAATACAGTACTGTAATTTTATACATTTCTTGTGAAAGAAACATTTCTTATTCAACGGCCATAAAAATTATTTATGTTAATGATGTCTCCAAAGTTCAACAAAGTTTTCGCAGAAAAATAACTTATCAGAAATCGCGCCTACCGTTTGGTGCGCTGCTCTGCGACGAAAACAAGCTTAAGCAACGGCAACGTCGAACGGTGCACACTCGATAAGTAATCCTACAATTTTTTGTTTATAGCATAGTTTATATGGATTATTCCCAAAAAAATATACGTGTTTTGAAAATGTTGAGTCAAATTAGTCTAGGAATCGATTAATTTTATGGAAGAAAACCTTTCAAACAGCCGTAGTCTGTAAAGTTCATATGTGCCGGGCTGTGACTGGCAAGGACTCGTACAAAATGGATTCATAAAGAACGGAGCGTATCTACAGTGTTATAGGGGGGTTGACTGTATATGTTAAATTTAATAAAATTAGTGACTAATTATTGCAGATGTATGAAGAAATAAATACAGTAGAGCGTCATTTATCCGAATCAATTGGGGACTGGGGTTGTTCGGATAACCAATTATGTACGAAAAAATATATTAATTTATCCCGTGTCGAAATTTTTCTCTGTTGCGTGTCGCTTCGCGTTGAATTTTCTTCGATGTTAAGCCTAACGAAGACTATTGTATCGTTAAAAATTATTTTTTTATTTTGTACAAACAAAATAAATATATTGAAAAATATAAAAACAATAAAAAATTATACTTCAGAAGTTAATTTAGTATCAAAAACGTAAAATATTTGAGTAGCTGAAGACATAGCCAAAGATTACAGCGCCACAACACTGGCGAAAATTTAAATTTGTCGACTGGAATTCCTTCAGATAACAGACATTTCGGATAATCGACCTTTGGATAAATGATGCTCTACTGTAATTAATTTATAGAGACACATTTATAAATTCATATGATGTTCTTATAAGAATGGAAAATGGATAAATTAACCCACTTCCTTTAAGGGTTATCTAGGAGCAATTGCCAAGCTGTAGATAATGAGTCAGCATCCTTGCTATAAATGCCATGATTATTATGCAATTCCCTTTAAGGGATTTCGCAAAATTTTCTAATGTTTCTAGTGTTCTTAGTTTAACATTGTCATATATTGGTATTATAATCTTAGCTTCTTCCCATTTGACTGTTATACCAGCTCACTTGCATATTGGGCTAGAGTGGTATAAAACTTATTATTATAAGTATTGTAATTATGCTCTACTATCTTTTTTGTTAACACGTATTTGTTGGGCCATGTATGTTAACTTTCTGTTGATATTAAACCTATTGTTGTCTAGTGGTACCGAGTATACGCCAGGTTTTCTGGCTTCAATGCATGTATCTTTGGCATTGGTAAGAAGTTTATATCAAGGGGTTACATTTGTATGCTAAACCTGTTTTGACCTTCTTGACTATGATTTTATAAGTTTGGCTCAATCTAGGGTCAAAGTCAACCACTATGCATTTTCTTTGTTGTTTTAGAAATCTTGTATTTATTGTTTCTATTTCTATGTTATTCTGTATGTTATGAGCTAATCCTTCTATTAACTTACTGCTGTAACCATGGGCTATGGCAATGTGTTTAATTAATGCATTGTATTTCTTGTAGTGTGTCCTTGACATTAGAGCAACGGGTAAAAGCTTTTTGAAGCAGTACACTGCTATTTTATAAATACATGGGTCGTTAGATGTTGAAGGAATAAAGAAAGATTGTAGGTTGGTTTATGGTACACCTTTGTAACTATACAACCATTTTTCAACTGTATTTGGAGGTTGAGGAAATGGGGTGTTCTATCACTTTCTTGCTCTAACTTTAACGTAAGTGCAAATGGGTTGCCATTGAAAGCCTGCAATATTCTATCCACATCTGGCTTAATTTCCAGATAATAAGAACATCATTGACATAATGCATTTATAATATAATTTCTGAAGTAAAGTTTTTTTAAGACCTGGCCCTCTAACTTTCTAACTATTAATTCACACAGGCCTCCAGATAAGGGAGTACCCATTGGAACCCCTCTCTTTTAAAGATAAGTTTGCTTGTTGAAAGTAAAAAATGATGTGTTGCACATTAGGTAGGCTAGCTCCAGGATATGTTTGTGGTATTTATGCCTAGATGGCAGTGCCTGACATAGGAAGTCTCTCAGGGCACAAAAACAGGAATTAAAGAATTTGCTAGAAAAAAGACAGAAAGGTGTTTTGAAACTTAATAGACAGGAGTTCTAGCTTACTGCACATAAAATAATAAATTTTTATGTTCTATCCAAACTTCTTTAGTTAACAATTTATTAAATGAACAAGCCTGCTTACTTTAGATTAAAAATGCTTTTGTTTTTTTATATTTTTAATTTGATAAATTTATACTTGTTTTACCTCTCGGCATAAAATCCACTAACAAAATCCCTTTCCTGTCCCAAAAGACAGTTGTCATAATTTTCCATGCTGAAATGGACTGTTTGGCTTTCACTTACACATAGAACTGTTTAAATGAAGCATGTAGCTAGAGTTGGATGTCTTAATTAAACAGTTCTATGTATAAGTGTATAATGGTGCCAAGTTTTCTTCATTTTAATTAGAAAAGGCTTTGCTAATGCTCTGTCTTATGTGGCTTATAGAACTGAGTTCATTCTCAAAATTTGACTGCTTGATTTTGATTCAACTTTGTCATTTTACATAATATGAAATAAGGAAATTAAAAATGTTATAAAAATCAAAGATCAATGATTTCATTTTTGAGATATAGTAGGGGTTAAAGTAACAATGTCCAAGGTTGCTAGCATGTATGCAAATTTTTATTCTTTTTTATTTTATATTCTACAGTTTCTGTTCTTTCTGAACATGAACTAAGAATT